CAATTCAAGCTTTGCAGTTTCTCAGTGTAACATCCCCTTCTGCTGGAGCCAAGCCAGCGCAGCTCCCGCGTGACATTCTGTTTGCTCTGTGTCTCTGATATGTGCCTGGTGTAATATTTACCAACTGGTCGACTCTGTGGACAGAGCAGGCAGTGAGACTGTCTGTGTTTGCTCCACGTTGCTTCCTGGCTGGGCCCATTTCCATGGCAACGGGCCTTCCTGTCAGCAGGCTAGAAGGAAGGCACAAAGGACCACACTGTTGGGGACTGTTGCCTGTGGGCCAATGGGCTTGAGTTTTCCTCTTGGCTCTTTAACAAGAGGAGTAAAGTTTTCTCTGGAGCTTTTCCTCTTTACTTTCCTGTGTCCTGAAAGCAATCTATTTGGCTTTGTGTTTTACATCCTGCAGGAAGGTTGGATTCTGTGATTTACTGGTGGTGAGGAAAGGGTGGGGGAGGGAGAAGTAGGGATGACCCTCCAAGGGATGCCATGGGATCCTGTGGTTTTGTTTTGTTTGGTTTGGTTTATAGGGCAGCAATGCAAGTTTGACCTGCCAGGTGTTTTTCTCTTCTGGAAGCTCTCTCACCTACCCTTCCTGTTTGCAATTTAAAAAGTTCTGCAGGAAAGGAATATCCCCTGCTCACCCCCAGCTCTCCCCTTCCAGACTGACCCTAAACTGGCAGAGAACAAATTGTCCCTCTCTTGGCAGAAATTCTGGTGTCCCTCTTATCCGAAGCTAAGCATTGAGGCCCCTACCATGTCACAGGATGCCCCACAAACCAATAGGTCCATCAATGACTGGTGGAGACCAAATACCAGCTACCTATGTGGCCCTCCATCATCTGGTAGCCAGTTTCACATAGCAAAAACAAGCAGCTGACATTAATTTTAACAGTATATTTTATTGAGCTAAATATATCCCAAATATTATCATCTCCACAGGCAAACAATACAAAAACATTTAGCTTTCTCTCTTCTCACTGAGTCTCCAAAATCTGGAAGGTATTTTACACTTGGCACACATCTTGGTCTAGACTAGCCACATCACCAAGTGGCTCCTGGCACTGGGGCTAGTCCACCCTGCATTACTTTTGCAGCTTCCTCCTGGTCCAGAGTCCCAACTTCCCAGGGTACCAGGCACCGCAAATACTGTAGGATTTCCACATCTTTTGTGCATATGTCTCAGTACTTACCGTTTCTCTTGCTTGACATGCATTTCTCCAAACAGCCTTTAATTCCTCTTTGCAATGCTGTGACATAAATTTTCAGTCACTTTCCCTGGACTCTCTTCTTCATTTCCCCCGCTATCTTTTTTCCTCTCAAGCACAGCCCTAAGTCTGCTTGTCATGGTCTTTTCTGTTCCAGGAATAGGTCTAAAAGCAAGCACATGCCTCACGTCTTGGCCATCCTGGGCCTCCTGCATGAGTGAGGTGGGAGCTGATCTTGGGCTAGGATGCTGCCGTTTTCCTGCTGGAGTCAGGATTCTGCTCCGCCAGACTACTCCACACCACCACTGCCTTCTCCTCCTGCACCCGAGGGACCAAGTGTGGCCCTAAGTAGGCATGCTATGTCTCTTCATGTTTTCTCGGTACCCTCACATTTTTTCTTACTTCCTAAATTAAACAAAACACATATGGAAAGTATCACGTGACTTCTGGGGAGATAAGAGCAACCCTCTGTTTACTCCAAATAGGGCATAGATGACTGACCAAGACAAGGATTCCACCCAGGTCTAGTGCCGTGAAACAGTGGGTTTGTTGGGGGTAACTTCAGAAACATGGGTGAGGGTAACCTACAGGAGCATGAGTGACAAAGCCAGCTGTGTTACCAAAAGCTCACCCTGCTTGGATGAAGACTCAAGAAAACCACATCCCTGGAGCTCCTTGATCAACTTGTAGGCTGCTCCATGGAAGACAGGAGAAGCCCCAACAACTGTTTACAGCTTGCATACTCCTGGAGGGTAGCATGTGTCGGAGTCTTGTAAATCTCAGAGTTCCCAGGGTCCCAAGATTAATGAGCTTCTTCTATTTTAAAAGGTTTGTTTTTTTCACTTCTGTGTCTCTCCTGCTTGTCTTTATGTGCACCACATGTGTGCAGTGCCTGCCAGTGGCCAGAAGAGGGCACCAGAACACCTGGAACTAGAGTTACAGGCATTGTGCGCAGTTGTGTGGGTGCTGGGACCTGAAACCAGGTCTTTTGCAAGAGTGGCCAGTGCTCTGAATGGATGAGTCATCTGTCCAGCACCATTCACCTGCTTCTTGAGCCTTCCATGCTTCATTAGTTCAATGAGTATTATGAGTCTCCCACATCCCTCTAGGTGGGAATGTTTCAATTTGTAAGGAATAACTACACAACAGAGAGTCAGGGTATCTGATGAGTAATGACATTGGGAAGTGAAATACAGTGATGAAAACCACATGTACAATCCCTTCAATAGAGTGTAGCCTATAAAATATAAGTCAAAGTAATCAAAGAAATATGACCCAGCACTTACCCACGGAATCTGAAACTAGTGTGTTAATGAGATGTCTTTGTTCTCATGTTCTTTGGTGCATCCTTTGCATGAAGGCAAAAGCTGGAGCAGCCGAGGTGTTCATCAGTGCACTAATGGGTAGAGCATATGTGCTACCTGTCACTGATGGATTGCTGGATTCCTGCTTAGCCTTGAAGAGAAGGGGCTCCAGTCACTTATGATAATCCCGGAGCAACTGGACACAGGATTGTGATACAGGCCCAGAAGACAGGCCCAGTGTGTTCTCACTCTGGAGTCGGAAGCAATAGAACTCAGAAGCAGAGAGGAGAGCAGTGGCTGCAGAAGTGGTGATGGTGGGAGCTTGAGTTGAAGGGGTGTGGCAGTCAAAAAGTAAAAAATCTTGGGGCTGAAGAAATGGTCCAGTGGTTAAGGGCACTTGTTCTGTTTTCTGGGTTCAATTCCCCACACTCACATGGCAGCTCACAACCATCTGTAACTCCAGTTTCAGGGTACTGGGTCCTCTTTACTATTTATTAATGCCCCTTTGCTTCTTGGGGAAGTACATGCCTTGATCATTTCCATCAACTGTTAGACTTTGCTGTTGTAAAATTGATGGCTAGGGATGAATAGAGATGTTTGTATCTGTTAGAGCTCTGTCAGGTGACTTATGGCTACAGTGATCTTCACCCACATATATTCTTGGGGCATATGTCTTGATGTAGATAGGAGCGATGTGGGCTCAATCCAAGATCAGCCACTTCCTAGCTGAATGACCTTGAGCAGGAAACAGTCTTTCAGATCTCAGTGTTCTCATCTGTAAAGTGGGGGTAACAGCCGGACTGTCCTGGGGAGATGCTGAAGATACTGTGTTTGAACACTAGATTGCATTTGAATAGCCAACACATGGCTGAAACTTACCATCTTCTGAGAGCTTCTTCTCAATGTCCTCTTTTTGTATTAAATACAAAATACTCTCATTTAAGTGGCTGAAAAAAAACCCAAACAAACAAAAAACCAAAATCACCACTGCTAGGCTTGGGCTACAGTCATCTGTACATAGCTTAACTTTAGCATCAAGATTCCCTGGCTTCCTCTTGGTATCCAGCACGGTTTGTATTTGGCACCATCTAGTGGCTGGATGAGGTAGTTTCTGCGGCGCACGGCACTCCCGGGAGGCAGCGAGACTCGAGTTAGGCCCAACGCGGCGCCACGGCATTTCCTGGCCGGGAATGGCCCGTACCCGTGAGGTGGGGGTGGGGGGGGCAGAAAGGCGGAGCGAGCCCAAGGCGGGGAGGGGGGAGGGCCAGGGACGGAGGGGGGCCGGCACTACTGTGTTGGCGGACTGGCAGGACTAGGGCTGCGTGAGTCTCTGAGCGCAGGCGGGCGGCGGCCGCCCCTCCCCCGGCGGCGGCAGCGGCGGCGGCAGCGGCAGCTCACTCAGCCCGCTGCCCGAGCGGAAACGCCACTGACCGCACGGGGATTCCCAGTGCCGGCGCCAGGGGCACGCGGGACACGCCCCCTCCCGCCGCGCCATTGGCCTCGCCGCCCACCGCCCCGCACTTATTGGCCAGCTCGCCGCCAATCAGCTTGATCATGTTGAGTGACATTGTTGATGTGTTCTAGAGTTTGGTTTGCAAGTATCTTATTTTTACTTTTATGTTCATTAGGGATACTAGTCTATAATTTTATTTTTGTTTTGCCTTTATATGTTTTTTTATCAGGGTAATAATGTCTTTGTAAATAGACATTGGTAGTATTCTTTCCTTTTCTGTTTTGTGTAGTTACTTGAGAAGCATTGGTGTTCATCCTTCTTTAATGGGCTGGTTGAATTCAGAAGCTTTTTTTTATTTGCGAGATTTTTTCTCTGATGTTTTTAATTTTGTGGCTTGTTATAACTCGGTAAACTGTTTATCTCATTTCCATCTACTTTTGTGGCATCATATGTGTAGCCCTCCATCCATATCTTTTAGTTTTTCTGCTACAAAGCTGGCATCAAACTTACTGCAACTCTCTCCTCTGTCTTGGGAGACTGTGCTAGGATTATAGGCATGCTGTACCACACCCAACTGGTTCTTTGTATTTTATTAGCTATGAGTCTAGGGAGAGTGTGGAATCTTATAGTGGGAAGAGACATCATCATTGAGGTTAGCTCAATAGCTTTCCATGTTGATTTGTTGACGTTTATTATGCTCAACATGAATGTCATGCTTCATTTATTCTTAAATAAAAATAAGAACTCAAGTTATAGGTTTGTGTGTTTGCTATAAGTCAAATCAAAATACACAGCTTCTGATAGATTGTTGCCTTATTTCTTATTCTAATTAGGGAAATATGAGGTTCCCAAAATAATGCAAATCAGAATTTGGAGATAAGAAAACTACTATTTAGGTCATTTGTTTCTTCCTAGAGGAACATATGGTAACACAGAACTATGAGAGAATATAAAAGCTGTATGATTCAAAATATATGCTATAGGGATGAAAATAAGGGCCTGGACCATACATTCTCTGGTATGTTAAACACTAACAAAATGTCTGTCACAAAGATTCCAGATCAGATGTTCTTCCACACTGATTATCGACCACTTATCCGAGATGCGAATAACTATGTATTGGATGAGCAAACTCAGCAAGCTCCTCACCTTATGCCTCCCCCATTCTTGGTGGATGTCGATGGAAATCCTCATCCTACAAAATTTCAACGACTGGTACCAGGACGGGAAAATTGTAAAGATGAGCAGCTTATTCCTCAGCTGGGTTATGTGGCTAATGGTATGCTACCTCCTAAAGCAAATTTAAAATGTTGCAGATGGATAGTTCGTACTAAATTCTGAAATGGGCCATAACATGCATTATATACTATTTGTATTCATTTTTACTTGTAGATTTCAGCTTACCAGAGTAGTTTTTTTTATTGTTTAGCTCTGCTGTGCAAAGTAATTGGTTTAGGACAAACAGTAACGTGCCCAAGAGGTAATTTGTTGACCTACCACAGTGGAAACCATTGCCATATGTATGACCTTGTTCTGCTTAGTGACTTCTGGTAATGATTAAACTTACCAACTTTACTATATTAAGCTTAATTGGTAAAATTATAGAATATGGATACTTCATTTTGAAAACTGCTAGTTAATGAAACCCCCAAACTGAGACTGGGTTTCTTTAGATAGATGTGTCAGCTGTGTGTCCTGTCTTTTCTGCTTGCTCATCCGTGGACTGCCTTTGTATTGGTTCACTTTTTCACAGTTTGCATTGAATTATAGAGGAGGAAGTTGTGGATTCGCAAATAGATTTCCTTGCCTCCTCAATTTTGTTTTTAAAAAATGGGATTTCACTATGTTTCCTGGGCTAGCTCAGAATTCTCATTTCTTCAGGCTTTAGCCTTCTTACTGTTGGTATTACAAGCATGTGCCACCATATCTGGCTTCTGAATTTCCTTTCTTTACTAGGAAATTGGTGATTGACCTTCATAGAATAAAATGAAGTAAACATTTGTAGAGCAATGTAGTAGTATTGGTTACTCTGATTTAATAATTATGAACCAAGGAGAAAAATGTGAATAATAAATAGAATATCAAATTGAAACTATCTAAATAAAAACTTCATTTAGCATACTTAATTTATTACAAGAATTAATTCCTTTGTTACTTTATCAAATCACATTTGATTTAATTACAGGGCAAGATGAAGAAGCAGGACATGATGCTTTTAAGAAAGATAAAAGTTAAAATTGTTCATTCAGAAGTAAAGTTTGAATTTGAATTTATCATAAAAATAATTTTTTACTTATTAAAACACTGGTGTTACAAAAAATATTTATTTATTTTAAAGCTCATACTTTTAACTTCTTTTGGAACGAAATTTTCATAAAAGGAAGGTGCAGAACATTCTAGGTAACTGTGAATAAACTTGTTTATAGTTTATAAATGACTCAGGCCAGGCATGGTGGCTCATACCTGTAATCCCAGCACTCTGAAGGCTGAGGCAGAAGGATTGCCATGAGCTCAAGGCCATGCGGGACTATATAGTGAGTTCCATGCCATGGTGGTTTACAGAATAAGACCCAATGTAAAAAAAAAATCTTGCTCACATCTCTAATTCTTGATTTTAGCTTTAGAATATAGCATATAGAAAACTTGTTTTTCAAGTGGATTATTTAACTTTAATGTTATAATTATTCCTTAAAATGCATTGTTAATGTCTAATTTAGGGCTATTGGTTAAATCAAATGCAAATGTTGAATCATTAAGTATAATTTTTAAAATTTCCATAAAATATTATTTCATGTATACTTTATTTTCATCTTAAATTATTTCTCATTACTTCTTTCACAGCTTATAATTTAAGCTAACTTTTCTCTTTTTTTTACCATATTAAGGCATACTAAAAATGTAATAAATTTATCTGACTTTATATCTTTGGTCTTATTAAGGTGATGGTGAGGTGGTAGAACAGGTAATTGGGCAGCAAACCAATGACCAAGAAGAAAGCATTCTTGATGGGATAATCAGGGAGTTACAGAGAGAACAAGACCTCCGACTAAACAACGAAGGAAATGTTCCACATTTTCCAACTAATAGATCATATTCTGTTAATGGTGGTAAGTAATTGTATATTTGTGGAAAGTATAAAAACTTTTACCATGTATAATGTGAAAACATTTCGTGTTTATAAATGTAAACATTTTTATTAATTTCTAACTTCTAATAGCAAGTATTCCAAAGTAGCGTGGTCTAATTATTATCATTTATGGCTAACGTTCACTTTCTAACAAATGTAGGTAGTGGATTTAAATACAGTATTCCTTCTGACTCAGTTTATTTTGCAATCTTTACTTTCGTTTCTAGAAATGAAGTCTTGGAATAAGTCTGGCCCTTTTATCAGGGGCCTGACCTATGAAGGTTTTAAACTTAAACCCCCTTTAGTTTGGAAAGTGCCATCCCAATAATTGGTCCCAGTTGTTGAAAGGGGATCAGCATATCACCCTTTGCTCCTGAATGAACAAAATAGTTCAGTAGAAAAAGGTCTGGCCTTTTCTTAGAGAACCCAAATATGACCTCTGACCAGGCTTACACAATAGCTTCATCTTAATCCCAGTAGAAGTTATTATATAATTAATTATTCTTCCCCATTTACTTTGCATGTAAGTGTGTGTATATGTGGGTATGTGTATGGCCATGGGCTAGAACTCAGGTTACCTGACTTGAGAACAAGCACCTTTATCTGCTGAACTATCTTGTTACCTCTAACAGGAGTATTATTATTATCATCTAAAATACACACCTTCCTTCACTTACCATAAAATGTACCTCTGTATCTGATATATCTAATTTGTCAAGAAATGTGAGTTTTTTGAGACAGGGTTTCTCTGTGTAGCCGTGGCTGTCCTAGAACTCACTCTGTAGACCACGCTGGCCTCAAACTCGCAGAGATCCACTTGCCTCTGCCTACTTATTGCTGTGATTAAAGGCATGAGCCACCTCTACCTAGCAAGTTTTTCTTAGTGCTAGGGATTGAACTCAACATCTTTTTTTTTATTTATTATGTGTACAACATTCCTTCCATGTGTGCCCGCAAGCCAGAAGGGGGCACCAGGTCTCATTATAGATGGCTGTGAGCCACCATGTGGTTGCTGGGAATTGAACTCAGAACCTCTGGAAGAGCAGTCAGTGCTCTTAACCACTGAGCCATCTCTCCAGCCCCATGAACTCAACATCTTAAGGAGCAAAGTCTCCACCACTCAACTACATTTTGAGCCCATTAGTTTTGTTTGTGATTAAGTCTTGCTGTGCTGTCCATGGTGGCCTTGAAGTTGTGGCCATCATGCCTTGCCCACCAGAGGACTAGGTTCCAAGGACCTATACCACTATGCCCGATTGTTTTGTTTTCTACTTACATAATTACTGTACTTTTTGGTAAAATCACGTATAGGGTTGCACAGAAGTAAACATATGTAAATTTGAAGCAACACACAGAGTATTTTGCTTATTTCTTGAGTTATTTCACAAAATTATAATAAAACAGTTCTTCATATGGGTCCCTTGGGGCATCTAACTCAGTTAAGTTTTCCTGAGCTTTGGACAAGGTTAGAAGTAGAGTGGCAATCCTGTATTGCAGAGTTCTTAGGTCTCCAATTTAGATCTTCATTAGTGCAATCAATATTTAGCTCTGCTTCCAACACTAAGTTGTTGTAGACTGAAATTCCATCAGCTAAGGGAACCCCACTCACTTCTATTTGCAATGCTCATTTTGTTTGGATTGTTTTTGAGTGTTGATTTCGATTGCAGTTTTCTATTTGTGTTTTATTTGCAAATATAACAATAAGAAGCTTACTAGTGTTTTCTTACATTGCTTATTAATTTTGAAAGTGAAATTTGAAATTAAAAATGTTTTGCTAGCTGGATGTTATGGCTCATGCTTTAAATTCTGTCATAGGGGCAGCTAATGCCTTAGAATCACAGTGGGTTCAAGGTCACTCTGAGATGCATAGTGTGTTTCTGAACAGCCTGGGTTACAGAGTGAGACGCTGGTTGTTGTGGTTTTGGGTTTTGGTTTTGGGTTCTCTCTCTCCCTCCTCTCTCTTTCTCTCTCTCTCTCTCTCTCTCTCACTCTCTCTCTCTCTCTCTGTGTGTGTGTGTGTGTGTGTGTGTGTGTGTGTGTTCAGTTGCTCTCCTTATTTTTTGTGACTGTCTCTTACTGAACCTACTGCTCACCAAGACTTCTTCTCTCTGCTTCTCGGCTGCTGGCATTATAGGCACAACACACGACACTGGAGCTGGGTGCTAGGAATTCAGACTCAAGTCCTCACGCCTGTCTGACAAGCACTTTCCTGACTCAGTATCTCCCCAGTGTCTGCTTGTACTTTTCAATTTTTTGTTTTGAAAGTTTTATAAGTTTTACATTATTTTTAGCAAGTGTTATACTCTGTAGCCTAGGCTAGCCTACAACTCGTAATCTACCTCAGTCTCCCAAGACTTAGAATTCCATGTGTACATCTCTACACTTAGTTTACTGACAGTTGTCCTAATTAAGTAAGCAAAGATAGAATTTAGATTTTACAAGGATTTAAATTGAATTGTTAGTCTATATATATATGAATCTTTCAGATAATATTTGGACAGGGTTGTGTATTCTGTATCTAGTAAATGTCTGATAAGTGGTGCCTTAAAAACGAAAAGAATTATACAAAATTTCAGCATTTATTGGGTACTTGATATTATTTATAATAATATAGAAACATGAAGATGGCACAGAAAAAATGTAGAACAGGGGTAATAATTACTTTCATATTTCCAGAAATCGCTTTCTGTTTTTCCTTCTCGCCTCTGTTATTTTTGGTGCTAGGGATCAAATCTAGGACTTTGCTCATCCTAGGTAAGCAATCTTTACAGTATCAGCCCCAAACATCCAGTCTTTGAAACTTAGATCTTCTTTAGCGCTCTAATCTCCATCACTGGTATATTTGTTCAGAACATTGTGGTTTTCCTTGCTTTTGCTTTAGCTCTGAGTAGTCCAAATATGGACATACCCTCTTCTCCAAATATTGGGCTTCGGCGTAGTGGTCAAATTGAAGGTGTTCGGCAAATGCATAACAATGCTCCTAGGAGCCAGATGGCCACTGAACGAGATATCATGGCCTGGAGCAGAAGAGTGGTGGTAAATGAACTAAATAATGGAGTTAGTAGGTGAGTTGACATGGTAACCTTCCTAAGAAAATTCAAAACTGTATATTTACAAGAGAATTATGTTAAATTACCCTAGTAACTGAGATATTCTAATCAAGCTGCATCATATGTTAGTTTTTCCATATCAACTGACTGTAATTAGCTTATTTTGTGACAAATATCCTCCTAAATGTGCTCAGCATTTGATTAATGCCCTGGGAAATACTGAGAAGGTGATGCATTCTTGTGCCAGTGTGTGGGTTTATCGTCTAAGGGTAAGAATACAGATACTAAGACAGAATTCATATTAGAGCACATGTGAACCTGAGTGGCATATTGACTATGGATTAACAGTGATCCAAGAAAAAGGTCACCAGCTAAGTATTGGAGCAGTATGAGTATGCAGTGTAAATGTGCTTTAAAATGTCATTCAAATAGTCTTCACTGGTGAAAGGATTTTGTTGGCATAATTTCAAATCTACAATCACGATTCTTACTTGTAAAACTACCTTTTTTATAATAACAACTGTATAATCACAAGTAGAGATGGGTTATATATATATTATGTATAATATATATATGTGTGTGTATATATATATATATATGAACTATTCCAGAGAGCATATATTTTAACCATACCATCTAACCAAGTATTATTAGCAGATAATCCCAAAGTAGCAAAATATATTAAATCCTATTTTCCCCCGCTGCCTTCTGATATAAGTAGGAATCAAGAAAAAAGCTAATTTTATGAGTTGCAACTGCTAGAATAGAGAAAATTCAAAGAACTCCTTACTTAAAAATAAACAAGCAAGCAGGGAATTAGATATTTGTGTGCTAATAGTCATTGCGGTGTTATTCAAGTGAAAAAACTAAATATCAATCAGTAAATAGATTATCAAATATGATTTAGCATACAATGGTATTTTTTTCTTTTTTTCTTTTTTTTTTTTTTTTGGTTTTTCGAGGCAGGGTTTCTCTGTAGCTTTGGTGCCTGTCCTGGAACTAGCTCTTGTAGGCCAGGCTGGCCTTGAACTCACAGAGATCCGCCTGCCTCTGCCTCCCGAGTGCTGGGATTAAGGGCGTGTGCCACCACCGCTCAGCTACAATGGTATTTTATTAGTCCATAAAGAAGCCATTTTAATGAATGAATAAAATTTGAAGCTGTCTTGCCAGGTAAAAGAAGACATAACACAAAAGGACAAATAGTGTGTAGCTCTACTTAACATAATATTTAGAGCAGGAAAATTCATAGACATAGTACCAGATAGTAGAGGCTTTCAGGGCCTAGAGGAAAGGGGAAATGGGAAGTAACTGCTTAATAGTTCCAGGTTTTATCTTGGAAGTGATTGAAAAGTAATGGGGATGGGTGGTGGTGCTGATTGCAGAACATTGCCACTGAAGAATATCGCTAAAACGATTACAGAGCTACATTTTCTATTTTGAAATTGTTTAATTTTCAGAGTTGATGTTTAAACTCTTGGATTCTTTTTCTTATTTTATTAGGGTTCAAGAGGAATGTCGCACTGCGAAAGGTGACCTAGAAATTAGTCTTTATACAGTCGAAAAGAAGAAAAAGCCATCTTCTACTAGCCAAAGAGTAAGTTTGCTTCTTTAGTGCTTTCAAATCCTATGTTTGCAAATAAAAATTATTTGAAAGGCAATAGTTATCTATCAAGAGAGTATTTAAATTGGCATCTGCTTACAGGGATCTTAATTTTTTTAACCTCAAATCCATATCCATACATGCATGTGAATGGTTATTAACAGAAAAAATTTAAATAAAAGGTTGTCTTTTAATGTATATGTATAAAATATTATTTTCATTTTTAAATGCAATTGTGATTTTCTATTGGTTATCAATCCAAATGTGAAACAAATGCTGTATCCATTAGGATAGAGGTTGTCACGCTTATGTATGAAATCCTTGGTTTTACTTAATTATATTTTATTGAAGTAAGGCAAATATTCAATTATGGCTTGCCTTTAGTTGTTTTTATGTTATATATAAAGAGAGTTGAGTAGTTGGAATAAAAATGATATGACCTAGAAAGCCAGACATTCTTCTGACCCTCTACAAATAGTTTGCCAACCCTTGTATAACCTATCTAACCACGTAAGCAAAACCTAACTATACGCTGGGATGTACTAGGTTCATTTCCCAGTAGACCCTGCTATGCAATGGATGAGATACCTGTACTGCATTTGGCCTAACTAATAAGCTTATGAAATCTTCTCATTCACCAGCCAAAAGGAATCAGGATGTAAACTATTTCTTCCCGAGTTATAACCCCTCTGTAGAATATAGTTAATTGGATAATTTTCAGTGTTTAAAGAAAAGCTAAGTAGTGTATTCTGAATTTTAATAATATTTTCTCTGTCAATGAACAAAATTAGGGATAATTATCATAAATACCTTAAAATATTTGTACATGATTCTGATATCTGCTTTAAATTTTTATATTTAAGCTTATTCCATCTCTAGTATGAATCTGATTAATGGTTTATTTTGTTTTGCTTATTTGCCAATAATTAGTTTATCTGGAAATGCTAGGGTTTAGAGTAGGTATATAAGCATTTAGGTATTTAGGCTGGAATTTAGACATTTTCATATACATTTGAAGACCACAGAAGCCAGACATGGTAGTGTGTATATGTAATCCCAAAATTTGGGGGGCTGAGGTAGAAAGGAAATGAGAGTTTGAGGTCACTCTGGACAACATAGTAATATTTACATATAAGAAAAAGAAACTGACCTTTCAAGACTAGTTTATAAGAGTTTTAAAGTTACTCCCAATGACATTAAGGCTGTAGCTTTGCTTGTGATAGTATCAACCATAATGATTTCTACTTATAGATATTAGATATTGTACAAAGGTAGATACTACACTAAATTTTCCTTGTTAAAATGAAGTATCTTTTCTTAATAGGCTCTTGCTGTAACTCTGGCTAGCTTGGAAGCCCTGGCTAAGCTGGGGCATCAGTTGAATTCCGTGTTACTACTATAATTGTGTCTTTTACATTGTTCACAAGTAGTAGGACTGAATTCCAGTGAGAGAGAAGAAGTTAAGCATGGCATAGTTTCTTGCTTGTTATCTAATTGCACACTTTTATGCTCAAAAATTTGAATTTTTTAGTTTTGGCTTTGGTTTCTGAGATAGGATCTTTCTCTATAGCCCCTGTTGGCCTGGAACTTACTATGTAGACTGCTAATCTTGCACACAGTGCTCTTTCTGCCTGTTGTCCCTTCAATGCTGGAAATACTTCCAACCCTTGCCTCTTTTCACAGGTTTGGGGATTATAAGTATGTGCCACAATATCTGATTTGGATGGTGCTTTTTATATGTGTATTACTTCGAGTCTTAAATCTTCTATTCTTATGTAATCTAAAGCTTATTTTATGTCTATCGATTCTCTCCTGGCATTTTTCTACAAGGAATATTTGTTAAATTGATTCTTAAAATTATTTTTCTGGGGCCAGGGATATGGCTCAATAGTTAAGAGCACTGGCTGCTCTTACAGAGTGTTCAGATTTGATTCCTTGTAATTCACAATCATCTGTAACTCCTGTTTGAGGGGAATCGATACACTCTGGCCTCCACTGGTACAAGGCAGGCATGTGATCTACAAATAAATATGTGCGGAGGCCAAACAGCCGTACACATAAAATGAGAAATAAATTCAAATCAGCTTGTTTTGTTTATTTTGAGCCAGGGTCTCACTCTCTAGCCCAGGCTGTCCTTGAACGTACTGTAGTCCTTCTGCTTCAGTTTCCCGAGTTCTTGGAATACAAGTGTGAACAAGCGTGTAAAGCTGTGTTAGATTGATTCTAAAGATCGTTACTAAACCTTAAGAATCTTAAGACTGCTAATCTGGAATGAAAGAAATATAAATGATTAAATCTAATTGGTCATGCTAATGCTTTTACAGACTTTCTTATATTTCTTTTTAAAGTTATTTAAGGATTACATTAACTATAATATGGATGTTTATTCCTGCTATGATAATTGTGAATAATGTGTCATGTAAACTCTGAATGGGCAAATTCTTGCCACCGAGGTATTCAGTGTTCAGTTTTGTACTATTTCTTCTTTTAAAATAGGTTTCCCTTCTCTTTTACAGAATGATCATCAGCCTAGCTGTGGGCGGTCTTTACGGAGGACACAGCGCAAGCGTCAGCATACTTACCTAACACGGTCCAACATAGAGCATAATTCACAGGCATCATCTCAAAATGCATGTGTACAAGAAGATTCAGACAACTCCTCGGAGGTTAGATCTGCTGTTATTTATTCTAAGTTACTTCTTTTGTTGATTTTGTACAATTTATTCAGGTTTCCTTTTGCAAGTCACTTGAATAAGAAATGCAGAGGTTTACTTATTAATAAGCGCATACACAGATTTGGGTGTTCCATTGAACACTTCGGATTGTCTTTCCTGATTTCTACCTAAGATACTATCTCGGCAAGGGTGTAGCATGTGCCACCCAAAGCTTGTCTTTGTGACAGTGAGATAAGATAGTGACAGAAAAATCTTCCTAGGCATGAAACATAAATAATAGAAATAAGGAGAACAGTCCCAGGACTGATTCATTCTGTAATTAACTTATATATCCCTTTTATTTTATTTTATTTTATTTTTATTTCTGACTCTATCTATTCCAGAAGTCATTGAGTGTTGATTTTCCACAGACCTATCTTCATCATGACAGTGAAGAGAGTGTATAGCTGCTCTTTTCCTCTTGTTCCCCAATCCTCTTGTTCGTTTAACAACTCTATTTTTTAGATCCATAATGAGAGTTTTATTGACATTAACATTATAGAGTACTTTCTTTCTTCTACTATTCACAGTTTTTAAAGTAGTATTTCCCTTTTCCTCCATGAATATCTTGACCTTAAAATAATACTCACAATATATTTAAAGCTATTTTTTAGCATTTAAGAAGACTATAAGTATTTTGAGATTTAAACATTTTTCTAAAGAAACAAAAATGTTTTATATCAATAAAGAGTATAATACCAGACACCATAAAATACCCACTAGGTTTGTTTGTAAATTTGAGATATAATTATGTACATTTTAGCTAGGATGTTTGATGAGGTAATAAAGTGCTGTACATCAAATAGGTTTTTTTCTATATTATACTAGCTGATACTAAATATATTTAATTGCCTTCTCTTTATTATAGGAAGATGAAACTGTTGGCACAAGTGATGCTTCTGTAGAAGACCCTGTTGTTGAGTGGCAAAGTGAAAGCTCTTCCAGGTAGTTCCAATTGACCTCAAATTATTCAAAATTTAATTTCATGAAATTATGATTTTGTAGGAATTTGATAAAACCAAAGATAAAATAGTGTCATGTATTGCAAAAAAATTCTGGGTTTGAAGCCCATGTACCATATATTTATTCATGACTCCCAATACTTTCTATGGATATAACTATAGAGGTGTTGTTTCTTTTACCTGTGAAATAAGCTTCATGTTAAATTTATGATTGTACTTCTATGCAATTTTATATAATTATTTCAGGTTTTGGTCTTTTGATATAGAGTATTATTATGTAACTCTGGCTGTCCTAGAACTCACTAGACCAAGCTGGCTTTAAACTCTCACAGATCTGCCTATGTTATTAAAGGTGTGCACCTTATTTAAAACTTTATTTTAGTTTTAAAACTATATCTCCATTTCAGTCATAAGATTCATGTTTATTTTTAGGCAGTTTTGTGTTTCCAGCAAGGATTTTTAAATCCTGTCATAGCAAATTCAGTAATTTTTATTCTGAAAGCATTTCATTAAAATTAAATAGTGATAAAAATTTTGTATTTATCATGCTACTTTTTCAGTCCTTGTCTTGTAAGTGCTGTTTCATAAGAAAATGATGACTTTTCCATCATAATTTTGATTTCTTGCCAGTGATTCATCAAGTGAATATTCTGACTGGACAGCGGATGCTGGGATAAATTTGCAGCCTCCCAAGAGACAAACGAGACAGGCAGCGCAGAAGATCTTCAGCAGCTCTGAAGATGAAAAGGTGAAGCCCTTAGAAAATAGGAAGAAGAAGACTAAGCAGACGAGAAAGAAGGTTTGTAATACAGAAATCGCTTTGTTTTGCATTGTTTTTTTTTGCCTCCAATATTTGAATATTTTATAGTGACATTTGCTTTTCCTCTAAAAATGTCGATTAAAAAATTTTTTTTTTTTTTTTTTTTTTGGTTTTTCGAGACAGGGTTTCTCTGTAGCTTTGGAGCCTGTCCTGGAACTAGCTCTTGTAGACCAGGCTGGTCTCGAACTCACAGAGATCCGCCTGCCTCTGCCTCCCGAGTGCTGGGATTAAAGGCGTGCGCCACCACCGCCCGGCTTTCGATTAAAAATTTTAATTGACTTGAAATAATTGTTCCTAATTTCTTGTTATTCAAAGGTACAGTTAATTGCCATCATTATGTTATTAAATCAGAACATTGACAGTTGCTTGTAAAAATGTAGCAAAGTTCTACAAGAATAAGCCATCGTAATAAAATAAAATTCTTCTTGTCATTACCCAATTATAAATTTGTATTCCTATAAACATTTTACTCATAGGATAAAAGAGTTTGAATTTATATTTTATTTTACCTCATTATCCTTTCCACCAATATAATTTAATTTAAGGGACATAATACTTTAATCTACATACTTGTCTGAATTTCATAGTTTGTTTACCTGTTAATTTTTGTGATAATATTATACTGTTTTTATACTTTCTATTTTAAAAGGATTGCTGTTCTCTAAAAATCTAATATCTAAATGGAAAATGGCTGATTCCATTAAATGAGCTCTGCACATTCTTCTTATACAAAATGTCAAAGATATTAATGCACTAGTGCAGTAATCCTGTTGTATTAGTACATACAAATACTAGGGGATGAACCTACTGCTTCGCACACTACCCCTGAGCTATATACCAGCTCTTTTATCTACTTTTCCATTTTCAGACAGAATCTCAAGTTCCCCAGACTGGCCTTGAACTTTCAATTCTTCTGTCCCAACTTCCTGAATATCTGGGATTACAGACCTGCAGCATCTGGTCCATCTTTTATTCTTAATAGTCACTATTGTATTATTATTTGAGTTGATATAGTCTAGAAACATGAAGAGAAAAAATGTGTTATTATTAGATGATAATATGTCAAGCTATTATCTGTGATCCAAAATTGAACTGCTTGATATAAAATAAATGTATAGTTTCTATTGGATATGTTTAAAACTTAAATATTTTCAGTGTGCATGAAACCTGCTATTTTACATAATTTTTTCTGTCTTTTTCATACTACTATTCATGAGTCTGCACTTATGAACCATTGTTACAAATACTGTAATTGTTATTTGATTTGTTTTGTTTTAGAAAGGGGGACTTGTTTCTATGGCAGGCGAACCCAATGAAGAATGGTTTGCCCCTCAGTGGATCTTGGATACTATACCACGGCGTTCTCCATTCGTTCCACAGATGGGAGATGAGGTACTTGTTGTCCAATAAAAACGTACTGGCTTTGTGGGAGCCTAGGCAGTTTGGATGCTCACCTTACGAGACCTGGATAGAGGTGGGCAGTCCTTGGGCTTCCCACAGGTCAGGGAACCCTGATTGCTCTTCGAGCAGATGAGGGAAGGGGACTTGATCGGGGGAGGGAAATGGGAAGCGGTTGCAGGAACGAGACAGAAATCCTTAATAAATAAATAAATTAAAAAAAAACCCTTTTGATTCAAGAACACTATTGGGTTTGAGAGATGGCTCAGCAGTTAAGAGCACCAACTGTTCTCCCAGAGGACCTAGGTTCGATTCCCAGCACCACATGACAGCTCACAACTATCTGTGACACCAGTTACACAGGATCTAATGCCCTCTTCTGGCCTTTGTGGGCACTAGGCATACACAAGGTGCACAGACAGCACATTCATTCACGCACATAAAGGAAAATAAATCAACAATGACAGAATATTTCCTTTATTATAAAAAAGAAACAATTAACATTGTTTGGTGGGGGTGGCACACGCCTTAAATCCCAGCACTTGGGAGGCAGAGGCAAGTGGATCTCTTGTGAGTTCAAGGAAACCCTGTTCTACAGAGCAAGTTCCAGGACACCGAGGACAACATAGAAATCCTGTCTCAAAAAAATCAAACCAAATAAACAAAAGAACAATTAACACTATTCAATCTTAGTATCTTATATTGGTTTAATTTTCTAACTTTATTTATTATTGAGCATATGTGTATAATTGAGGGCAGCACAAGTGGAGGTCAGAGGACAGCTCTGTGGGATCATTTCTTTCTACCTGTGACATGGGTTCCAGGAACTAAACTCAGGTCACAAAACTTGCACATCAAATGCCTTTAATGACTGAACCTTCATATCGTAATTCTGTACTAATTATATATGTGCTATCGTTTCTTTATTCAGTTGTATATATAATTAATTTTGCTCCCTTTGTAGAGGTCTGGAATAATGTAGTCAACATAGTAGATACTAGGTTATTTATGATTTCTAAAGTTATAAAAGCAGTTGATTTTTGATTGGAAGTTTGAGAATTGAGTGGTACTTTGAGTCCTCAATCAATCAATAACTAATATTGTTTTAAAAATTCAGTATGTTAGAAAATATGCTTAAACAGGTATGTCTCACCCAGAATACCTAGGAATGTGGCCCAACCCATTTGTTTATATTACGTTCCAAGGTCAAAAAGTTCTACACCTGTGCTAACGGATAATTCCTGAGTCTCTGGATAAATGTAGATACTCATTTATAATTAGGCATAAAAAAATCTAATAAAATATTACCCAGTAGAAACGTTTAGTGTGTTAGTGAAATTATGGTTACCTTGGAATATCATTCCTTTAGGAAGATTGTTTTGTCTGGTCTGTTGACCGACCAAATATTGAAACCTTTTGTGTGTGTTGGGGCTAGAACCCCGGGTTGATACAAGCTAGGCAGTTGTACCATTGTGTTGCACTCTCGGCCTCTGCACACCATTTTGAATTCAGAATTAATAGAAATGTAAAAAGGACAAGTGAATAGGTTTAAAATGAGACCAAATACAAACGTGGTCTATTTTTTTCTTAAAGAGATCTTGTAGCAGATTTAGCTGTCGAATAACATGAGTAATTTATCTTTTGTTTATTTTCTTTAGGAATTATTAAAATGTTTCTTTTTGGTGTATGTTGGACTTTTGGCTAGTGTTTGTTTACAGTAATTACTATGCTAGTAAGCTTCTGATGATATATTAAACAACTTCAAAAGCCTCATAATTTTTGACAGATCTGAAATTATAATTTATTCTACTTAATGCCTATTTTGAGACATTTGAGATCTGTGGTAAACTTAAATTAATTTTAGAGGACTTTACAGAACAAATAAGCCTCTGTATCCTTTTAAAGTCTGATGAGACCCTTCTCTACACTTCATGACAACTTCTGTCAGTTCATGTCTTGATGGAATCACTTAAACTGATTTTATTTTATTAAACTGATTGTATCATATGCTTCAAGATTATGTATTAGGCTATGGCAGTTGTTTGGGGGAATGGAGAAAGTTTTGTAGTGAATCCAACAGTTGAATAGCAATTTGAGAATGTTTTTATTAAGAGCTCATAAAGGAACAAATGTACTGTTCATGTAATTAGTTTCTTAATTACAGCATTACTTACTACTTTGTCTAGCTATTAAGCCCTTGTTGTTTTGCTTAGAATAACCCTACTAATAAATGATTGCTCCTCAGAATGCTCCTTCTTAAAGGTCTAACTCAAATGCCAAATTCTGTTTTGCCCATAACTAATTCTATGTGAATTTTTATACCCACTGTGTGTGTGTGTGTGTGTGTGTGTGTGTGTGTGTGTGTGTGTTATGCTACTTTCCCTTAAAGGAAAATAGTACATTTTAATACCTTATGATTGCATCTAGTACCTTGTACTTAGACGTTTTGTCAATATTAACGATTTCCTTAGTTTGGATTTTAACTGTTATGATTTTTATATACTAATATTTCAATATTTTTATTTTCTATGTAGGTTTTTTATTTCTTGTTTTGTTTTTTGTTTGTTTGTTTTTTTTTTTTGAGGTAGGGTTTCTCTGTGTAGCCCTGGCTGCCCTGGAACTCACTGTGTAGACCAGATTGGCCTCGAACTCACAGAGATCCATCTACTTCCCTCCTGAATGCTGGGATTAAAGGTGTGCGCCACCACTGCCCAGGTCTCTGTGTAGGTTTTTTATTCATAGAGTATGCTTATGTATTTGTTTTGGCTTTATATAATAGGAATTGTTTTCTTAAACCATTTTGAAAGGTGAAAGTACTTTAATGTGGCACTGGCAGATCTGTGTTCTCTTCCAAATCTCTAATACTGAATCCTCCCCTCTTCACCCAGCTTTGGGTCATTCTCAGAATCCGTGGTGTTTATCACATGTGGCAACATTACTTCAGTTTCTGTCCTCCCTTCATATGGCAGTCTTCCTTCCAATTCTCTCTGTATTCGCTTTCCATCTTCTCATCTGGACAGTTGTTTAGGGTGTACATACATCTGCTAGGAGCTCAAGGGCTCTTAAATTGATTATATCTACAAAGGTAGTATTTTCCGAGTAAGGTCAGAGTTGTGTGTGTGTGTGTGTGTGTGTGTGTGTGTGTGTGTACACTGTTAGTGCAAAACCAACCCCTGCATTTGAGAAGAGAGCAATGAAAGTTCAGGAGCATTTCACTGAAGACAAGGAGAAGGGAATTGGCCTTACTTAAGTGCTGCCACTGTGGCAGGAAGACCAAGGGGCCCAGAGGGGACCTAGGGCTCTCTTATTCTCAAATAGTAGTATCAGCAATGTACCTAAATTAACCACAATGCTGTGTCCACAGCCTAATGCCTCTTTTATGTGCTCGCCTGATAGTATTTGTGATTGGGAAACGCATTTTTGTCTTCTCCATAAACTTCAATCAATATGTGTATTTATAAAACTGAACTTATAGTAGTAGTTCTGTCTTACAGGAATGCTGGGACGATTGGTTAGTATATTGTATGTGAAGAATAGTCTCTTACACAAGAACAAATAGGAAGTGTAGCTGTTACTACAATTTGGCCAGTGCTACATGGTATGAAATATTTGAGTCATGTCACAATGTCCTATTTACAGATGAGATGACAGAATTAGAAAGGTAAGCAAGTTGGCCAAATTTGCATATAATTAGGTGTTAGAATCACAGCATACTGGTACAGAACTTTCAAATCCACAGCCTCCCGTGCTTTTATGAGAACTCGTCTACTGGCCTCAGCTAAAGATGAGAAATTAAATTCCTTGGGGTAAAGGAGGAGAGTAATCTTCCTCATACCTCACTGTGTATTTTAAACTCTGCTAATATGGTATTTTATGATACCTTTGTCTGCTTATGCTTATTTCTGTCAGCATTCTGAAACCACTGAGGAAAAGAAATTTTCTTCAATAAGTATAGAAAATAGTAGTAAATATTATCTTTCAAAAATTTGAAGTGTCTTACCAAACACTTGAATTCATTTCTTCTGTGCTCAGCTTGTGCCAACATGAACTCTTGCGACAGAACAGTTTTGAATTTGTCTTAAAAATGACTTCATTTGCATGCTGCATGCAGTCACTTTCCCAGGCAGCTTCACACTGAAGAAAAAAAAAACACCCTGAATGTACACAAAACTAGTTGCTTTTCAAAGAATTGTTTAAGCTTATAAGTAGCATTCTAAAAATGTGTATTTAAATTGTTGTTGAGAGTGGTAGCTTTCCTTATGACACTTTCATGAAGGCTTTGCTTTGCTTGATCCCTCCGCTCTTGTCACCTACATCTTTCTGCCCTCCTTCTCCCCCTGTGGCCTGCCACTTTTAGTCCTTTCTACTTTAATGTCACAGGTGTTCTATTGCCCTCCCCTCCCCCTTCCGTGAAACTGACTTTTCCTTCTCCTAGACCTCTCTTTTCTTCAGTTGACTTTTGCAGCTGCTTGGGAGATAACAAGCACATTTATTATTTAAGCAATGTGAAATTTGGCACAGGGTTAGAGAGACATGAGTATTGAGTGAGTATCTTTTGACCAGGAAAAGGTTTGAAAAATTGTAATTATTTTATGTAACGGGAAGAGGCTGTTTAGACATTATGTATTGGGAAGTATAGAGTTAAAATAAATATGACTGTGTAATAAATACATTGTTTTCTGTTTTAGCTTATTTATTTTAGGCAAGGACATGAAGCTTATGTGAGAGCTGTGAGGAAATCAAAAATATATAGTGTTAATTTACAAAAACAGCCATGGAACAAAATGGATCTCAGGGTGAGTTTGCTTGATGGGCATGAATACAATCAAGGGTTTGGGGATTAAGTGGCTTTAAGCTTTTTTTTCTCAATTTTACAGATATTTTGGTGATGTTGCATTTCCTAAATTAATGATATATGATATTTTATAGAATGGATTATATATATATATATGTGTGTGTGTGTGTGTGTGTGTGTGTGTGTGTGTACATTTCTTAAAATTTGGATGCTAGGATATATTGATTCATACTATAATCCCAGTTCTTGGGAAGCTGAAGCAGAAATGCTGGAAAGTGAAGCCAGCATGGACTACAGGTGAATTCCAAACCAGCCTAGGTGATAGTGTGAGACTCAGTATCAAAGAAAACAAACTGGAACAATCTTTAAAAAATGTCTATAGGGCTAGAGAGATGACTCCGTGGTTAAGAGCACTTGCTGAGGACCAGGATTCGGTTCCCAGCACCCACATGGTGGCTTCTGTAACTACAGTTCCAGGGGATCTGGTGTTCTCTTTTGGCCTCCGCAGATAGCAGGCCCTCACTTGGTATACGTACATACAGGCAAGCAAAGCAGTCATATACATAAAATAAACTATTAAACAATTTTTAACCTTCACCTTATCTTATTTGCCCTAGTTTCCTGAAAGCTTTGGATCCTTGTGTTTTTGCCATTCCTCAACTACAGAAAAGCAGACATTCCCTGGTTTGAATGTTTTCCCTATCAGCAATTGTGTACATTCCTGAGTAAACTGTGTGCTACAGACATTCTCAAGGTTCTGGTAGTTTGGAGATAGGTTAAATAAAGAAGCATAGATACTTGTATTCTGTGGGATCATCTATTTAGATGTAATACCCACATTTCTTTATAAAATCAAGTAAAGTAGATAGAGTTATTTCTGTTAAAGAAATTTATGTCAGTTAATATGAAATATGTATAGTCAGTCATAAGTATCCCTTTTTGAGTTTTATTTCTGTTTTTTTCCTGACTTAGAGAAAAATAAAAAGCAGTTTTACTATAATTTTTTATGGAAAATGAAGAGTTGATGTTTGCCTTATCTTGAAAATAAAGGAGAAAAATTCAGATATTTAAATATTTTCAGATCAAATAATCTTTTAAGGTGTTAAAATATCTTATCCAGTCATCTTCATATGATCATCTCTATTGCCTGCTCATCTACTTAGAATCAAATGAGAACTGAGTACTCTTCTCGAACCAAGGGAATGGATAAATATAATGTCTTATTTCTAATCACAGCACTGTGGTGTAGAAAATTATTCAGGGGTAGTATGTATCAGATATAAGAGCATGGGCTTTGGAGTAAGACTTGAATTTCAGCCCTAGATCTTCTATATGCTGTTCTATAACTTTAATCAAGTTACTGGATCCAGAAAGAGTAATCAACTGTAAGATTGTGATGCAACACTATCTAAAAAATCTGTCATCTCAAACACATGTACATATAAATCTGTATGATTATTTATTAACTTTGATAATAGGGTGGGTGTTTGGGGGGTGTTTTTTTTAACTTGACAGTATCACAGTTCCCTTAGAAGTTTGTTTTATTTTAATAATTTTTATTTTTGAGATTATAAATTAATTACATCATTTTCCCTTCTCTTCTTGTCAAACTCTGCTGTGTAGCCCTTGCTCTCTTTTGAATTCATGATCCATTTTTGAATAGTTTCTGTGACTATACACACACACACACGCACACACACACACACAAACTATTTAATTTGTATGTTACTTATGTGCATATTTTAGGGCAGACCATTTGGAATTAGAGGTAGTTTGTGTATACATAGTTGGTGAGTTCTTCCCTGGAAGAGACTACTGTTTCTGTAACTCTTAATTGCCCATAGTTTTTTTTTCCCCCAGGGTTGAGGCCTGTTGAGCTTTCCCCTTTCCAAGTTAGCATGTCTGTTGTCTAAAATGCAATGTTGTAGAACCTGATATATCTGTAACACAATTCTTGCACCAAGGCTCCAGAATTGTTGAGAAAGAGGAGGGTGGAAAGAGTCTAAGAGCCAGAGGAACAGGGGATTTACTGTGAGATTGCATATCCTAAAAATGTCAGAAGTTTGCTTTCCAGAACTTACAGACTTTGCTAGTTAGGCTTATTTACAGCCTTGTGTCAACCTGTTGAGCATCCTTTTTGGTTTTGTTTTGGTCAAGACAGGGTTTGTCTGTGTAGCCCTGGCTGTCCAAAAACTTGCGCTGTAGACCAGGCTGGCCATAAACTCAGAGATCAGCGTGCCTCTGCCTCCTGAGTTCTGGGATTAAAGGTGTGCACCACTACCACTCATTTGTTTTTGTTTTTATTTGTATGGGGTTTCGTGTGTGTGTGTGTGTGTGTGTGTGTGTGTGCGCGCGCACGCGTATGCATGCAGGTATTCATCTGCTATGGTACACACGTGGACATTACAGGACCGCTTTTGAAAGTTGGATTCCACGCACACTATTATTTCTGGGGATTAGCAGAAGTTGTCAGACTTGCACAGCAAGCAGTCTTACCCACTAAATCATCTCCCTGACCTTAACCTTAAATATTAGGGTTCAAGAGACTACCTTTACCTTAATGTAGTTGCTATCACTTGATGAATATTCACTTGTTTTTTTTTATTCAACAAGTTATAGTTTTGTATTTGTGTGTATATATGCATATATATACATAAATATACTTGAATATATTTAACATTAATCAAGAAAACAGCAGCAATTTGAGAGTGGGAGAGACTTGGAGGGGATAGGGAGGGAGAAGAAGTGGGGAAGTGGTATAATTAAAATATAATTACAAATGAAAATTAGAAGTAAACATCTTTAAATGAAAAATAAAAGTTTATTATTGTTATTGTTGCTATTTTAGACATTTAATAACTCTTTATATTCAGATAATTCTTAAGTTATTCAGATAATAATGAAATACATTAATAAAAGGTAGTCATGTATAGAAAAATAATGTTTTGATGTTTCCATGAATAGGAGCAAGAATTTGTTAAGATTGTAGGAATCAAATATGAGGTTGGACCACCTACTCTGTGCTGCTTGAAACTTGCATTTTTGGACCCAATTTCAGGCAAAATGACTGGAGAGTCTTTTTCTATTAAGTAAGTAACTTATTTCTGATTTTTTGTTTGTTCATATGAATTTTAATGCCCATTGTTACTAATGTGTTTAATATTCAATTCAGAGCTCAAATACAATGGGAGAGGGAAATGCTGCAGCACTTCTCCGTGCTTTAGAATTATAAGGGTCTGTTTAGTGTTTGCTCTGTTGCTCTGTATAATGTGTGTCAGGAAGGGGTAAACTAATCCATGCACAAAGCTAGTTACTTAATCTGCTTTTAGAAAATAGACTTGCTTAAATGCTGCTTCTTTCCTGAGAGCTATAAAGAATCAAAGACTGCGGGGTTTTTTTTGTTTGTTTGCTTTTGGATTTTCGAGACAGGGTTTCTTCGTAGCTTTTTGGTTCTTGTCCTGGAACTAGCTCTTGTAGAACAGGCTGGTCTCGAACTCACAGAGATCCGCCTGCCTCTGCCTCCCGAGTGCTGGGATTAAAGGCATGTGCCACCATGCCTTTATAAAAAGCAGACTGCTGTTTATACAGTATGCTTGAAACATGGTGCTTAGTGTTATTTTTAATAATAATAATACATATAATAAGCAAATGACTATTTGTGGGATTTAAATTTAAAATTGATGGGACTGCATAAAATATCAATCCATATTTTTGTGGCAGGATCTCACTTTGTAACCCTGGCTAGCCTTGAAAGAGATCCACCAGCCTCGGCTTCCTAAGTGCCAAGGTCAATGGGGTGTGGCCACCACACCTAGTGATCCATTTTTTTAAATTTTGATGAAGATCTTTATATTAAACTTTTAAAGTCTTTATTGATCTTTATATTATTTAAATAAAAGCATTTCTAGAGCCCGTGGAGTTTACAAAATTTTGCTTAATGATCTCTATGTCAAATTGTATCCTTGGAAGTGGAGCAAGTGATAACTACGATTATACTACAGTATTAGATAGCACTGTGCTTTGTTTTCTGTGTAGGTATCATGACATGCCAGATGTCATTGATTTCCTTGTGTTATATCAGTTTTATAATGAAGCCAAAGAAAGGAACTGGCAGATTGGTAAGGAGAAATTGTCTCTTCTAATTCCTAACCTTGAAGTACAGCGTTAACCCTGATTTAACCACAGGAAATTAGCTCAAAGTTTGAACTGAACCAAGAAGTAAAATTTATAAGGCATACAAAAAAAATGAAACATAATGTTAAGTAACTTTATTCACATTGTGTACTATTTACAACCAATTCACCCTTGTACCTCATTTCATGTTATATGGTCTTACTTGCCTATGTCCAGTTGGAGTTTGAACATATAAAATGGAAAATATCAAATAGAGTAACTCATAATTTTCGAGTTCCTCGTTGTGAATACTTTAATGGATCCTCACACAATCACATCCCTTCTTACCTGGGATGTCAGGTTTTCCAGCAAACGTGCTGATCTTTTATTCTCAGCTGTGTCTTCCAATGCTCTGGGTACTAGCGTGCTTAAATTCAAGGACCTATTATGTAGGAGCCTAATATGTGCCAATGCCTACACTGTTCACCGCACTGCACCAGCTCACATAGTCACAAAAAGAAAGGGTGAATATAATACGATAGAATACTGTAAGAGAAGCCATATTGCGAACTTTTATTACATTGTAATATTACATTTTAATTATTGTTTTATTATAGTATACAACTTACAATCTCTTACTATGCCAGATTTATTAAATTTGCCATAGTTGTGTATGATAATGATAAATACAAGCTACTTCTGAATTCAAAACTATGTAAGAATTTGAGTGGGAACAGAGCTTATTCTGATTTAAATGTCTGAAATTCATTATAGGTGATAGGTTCCGCAGTATAATAGATGATGCCTGGTGGTTTGGAACTGTGGAAAGCCAGCAGCCTTTCCAGCAAGAATATCCTGATAGCTCTTTCCAGTGTTACAGTATTCAGTAAGTACAGCTCATTTGTGACTCTGGTAAATCCTAAGTGCTCTATTATATCAACTTTTTTCACCTAAACTTTGTTTTCCAAATAGATCGTTGTATTCTTTCCTATGGATTAATTTTAGATAGATTCTTGATTGCACCACCAGCAAAGAAATAAAACTATTAAAGAGTGCACTTCTGCCTTAACTTTATATTGGTGCGGCATGTTTTCTCCATCAGTGGTTTATTACTATCTTTACATGAGCAGAGTTATACTTCATGAATATTACACTGCTTTTTTTCTAAATTTCACCCTCAAATCATGCAAATTATGTTACCACATGAAAAGAAATGCTTGGGAATCTGATTTGCATCTTCTTCTTTTCTTGATAGCTGGGACAATAATGAAAGAGAAAAGATGAGCCCCTGGGATATGGAGCCAATTCCGGAAGGAAGTAAATACACCTTTCAAAATTAATTCTAATTCTTGTAAAAGCAAAAGGATAGCAGTCTGATGTTGGAAAATAATTGTTTTTGATTTTTTTTTTAATTTTGTGTCTAGCTGCTTTTCCAGATGAAGTTGGTGCTGGTGTTCCTGTGTCCCAGGAAGAACTGACTGCTTTGCTGTACAAACCCCAGGAAGGAGAGTGGGGAGCTCATTCCAGAGATGAGGAATGTGAACGAGTCATTCAGGGCATCAACCACCTTCTTTCCCTGGGTATGGTGAATGTACAAAAATACTAGGAAAAGAATGAGGAACTTGCAAAGCGAGCAGAATTTGTTCAGAACGTTTATCAAAGCATACTTGACATGTTTCAACAGGCAGAATGATTTTAGTTTAATGCTAATATTTTATATGTTTGCCTAAAGTAATTACTAATCAACTTTTCCATTGCTCTGGGGGATAATAGTGAAGGCAAGCATAAGTCTCTGTTTCTTTCTTGAGTCATTATGGCTCTCTAGCTGTTTCCTCAGCCTGACTTGGAGGGGTTCCTTGGTAAAGACAGTGGGTGAGGAGAAACTTTTTTTAGGAAAGACAAAAGAACCTGAAATTTGGCACATTCCTCATTTAATTTTGTTTCATTTTATCTAATTTGCACCAAAATGTCATGCATGATTCAAAGATACTATGTCCAAATAAAAGGTGACATTAATTTATATAACTGATACATTATTGTCTTAAAAATTAGGTATATTGTCCCTCCTTCTTATTTATATGTGAATATTCACTAACAAGAAATGTTAGTCTCTTTAATGGCTGTTTTTTTTTAATTTTTGGTGGCTTTTGTAGATTTTGCCAGCCCTTTTGCTGTTCCAGTGGATCTCAGTGCCTACCCCTTGTATTGTACTGTAGTTGCTTATCCAACCGACCTCAATACCATCAGACAAAGACTTGAAAATCGCTTTTACAGGTTTGTTTTGTTTTATAATTTATTACAGAAGTTGTAGTTTTATGTTTCTTGCGCTTTGTTAAGATCCGTTTTTGGATGTCTGATATAGTTATCCAAAAACATGCTCCAAATTTCCTTACATTTTATTACTCTTTCAGATAAATAGGATATTGGAAAAAAGGCAGAGTGGAAAATATAAGTAGCACAATTGTGTGAAACACAAACAACCATAAATTTTGTTCACTAAAGGTAGATTAAGTAGTAATCCAATGCATCATGATCAAGATGCTACAGAGATAATGCAGTATATTTAAAATTCTCCTTGGGGAATTAAACAATGGCTAAATTTAATTGCTAGATGTATAAATAGACCAAGCTATTTGTTGTTTATCTTATGAGAGAAATTATTATAAAAGGGTTTTAGAGGTCAGTTCTTGGTGCTTTGTTCAGCCATGCCAACTTTATACTAATTGAAGTATTCTGAGAGCTAGTTAGTCTGCCGCTGGTACTTGAGAAATGGGTATATTTTATAAAATACCCATTATTTCATTTGATCTTATATGTCAAATATAACTATATGAAAATGTGTTATTTTCCATACTATAGTTTCTCCTCCCTCCCTCCCTCCCTCCCTCCCTTCCCTCCCTCCCTCCCTCCCTTCCCTTCCCTTCCCTTCCTCTCTCCCTCCCTCTCTCCCTCCCTCCCTTTCCTCTCCCCTTTCCTCTCCCCTTTCCTCTCCCCTTTCCTCTCCCCTTTCCTTTCCTTTCCTTTCCTTTCTCCTTTGTTTTTTTTTCTTAAACTAAACACAGTATTTGATTTATCAAATGTACTTTTTGGTTAGTTTTTGTTTATTTTTATGTGTGTGTGGGTGGGTGGGTGGGTGGGGTCATGCCTGTAGCACTGCACACATACATAGGTCAAAGGACAACTTTCAGGAGTTGGTTTTCTCCTTCTACTGTGGGATCCTGAGTGTCAGGCTCAGGATGTTCGGTTATCCACTGGTCCGTGCTAACGTACTAATCATCCGTACGTCACACACTATATATGTGTCACATACATGTATCGAAATACCTTTGACATACCATGATAATACCATGATAAAGTGCCTAATAGTCTAACAATGCATATTCTAGGCATGTAATTCAAATATATAAGGCCAAAAATAACAGGAATTTTTTTAATTTCGTAGGAGAATATCAGCATTAATGTGGGAGGTATGCTATATTGAGCATAATGCTAGGACTTTCAATGAGCCAGATAGTCCTATAGTTAAAGCGGCGAAGATTGTGACTGATGTCTTACTTCGATTTATTGGGTAAGAAGTAGTGTTATCTCCTACAGAGACTAAATTCTACTGTTTTTAAGCATTGGAATGTATTTTGCCTTACTTATCTTGTTTCTTAGGGATCAAAGCTGTACTGATATTTTGGATACTTATAATAAAGTTAAAGCAGAAGAACTAAACAGCAGTGATGCAGAGGAGGTAAGGATCACAGCTTGATGATTATGACCGAATTTCTTTTCTGCTTTGGGGCGCAGTAAGTGTTAATGTATATTATAATTGGTTATGAATGGCGAACATTTTAGGAGGGTAGCTGAAGATCTGAATCTTTTCTATTAACTTCTTTTTTGGGGAGGGGGACACAGGGTTTCTCTGTAGCTTTAGAGCTATCCTAGAATTAGCTCTTGTAGACCAGGCTGGCCTCGAACTCACAGAGATCCACCTGCCTCTGCCTCCCGAGTACTAGTATTAAAGGCGTGTGCCAACTCTGCCCCGCTCTGTTGACCTGTATTCCAATGGTGTGTTTGAAAAATGGAATGATGTGCTATATAGAAGGTGTTGTCAGAGACAGGCAACTGGTCCTCCCTTGAAGCCTGGTGTATTCATATAATGAACAACTGAATTCTAGCCCTGAGAAAAATAAGACAAAACACTCATCATTTTATTGTATTTTGTTAGTTTCTTGTGTGTTTTTTGTCTTCTTCTTTGCAGTCAGTATTTTAAAGGAATGTTTAGTTCGAACTAGGCAGCAGTAGTGCACACCTATGATCCAGCACTTAGGAGGCAGAGGCAAATGGATCTCTGAGGTCCAAGGCCAGCCTGATATATAGAGTGAGTTCCAGGACAGCCAGGGCTACACAGAGAAAGAAACCCTGTCTTGACAAATTAAAAAGAAAAAAACCTGTTTAGTTGATGTTAATTTTAGACTAGTTCCTAACTAGCTCTTATAACTTAACCTGTTTCTAATGCTGAGTTTCTCTCTCTGCCCAGAAGTCCCGCCTATTCTCTCCCGCCTAGCTATTGGCCATCCAGCTCTTTATTAAACCAATCAGAAGGAGCCTTAGGCACATCTTTACAGTATACAAACAAAAAAGATTATCCCACAACATTTTGTTTGCATCTTTAGTCTTTAGATGGTAATTTCAAGTGACACTTTCCTGGTATAAGTTTATGTGACTATCAAATAATGTATTTTAATATACCTAAATGCTATTTAGTCAAGTAATATGGAAAATGTGATACAGCAGTTAGATACTAACCAATTAAAAAAATCAAGCAAAATTATTCATTTTTTTCTTATATTTTTCCTAACCCTTAACATTAATATATTTCAATTTAGGATTTTGATGTAATAAGACTTTCTCCACAAACTCACACTGTTTTGCTTAGAATAGAAATGAAATGTAAAGTTTTAAGAACTTGATTTTATTGCGAAGGAATATCAATAAGGCCTGATCTCATTTCTCCTATGCATTATGGAGTTGTTGTGCCCTTCACCAGTGGTGCCTAGGTCTGGACTTTGTATTGATAAACTTATCACTCTGAGACATACTTAACTGAATTAGGACAAATTTATATTTCCCTTGGGAAAATGTCCTAATTATTGAACTAGCAATGTTTAATTGGGAATAAGTCATGATTATGGTATATCAGATGACTCAGTCATATAGAATAAGATTTTTTCATACTCATACTTATTTGACTACAAAGTTCACCTTTTCCCTTATTTCTTATTCTAACTTAAAGAGAAAGCCTTTTTATTTTCCTCCCGGTATATTTTCTAACCTATACACAATGTATTATCACAGTTTGAAGTGACTCTCCCTCCTACATTTGCTCTGCTGCCCGCCTCAATGAACGAAAGTTAACTGTCGTTATCTTTGCTATTTACTTGTGAATATGCATTTTAATCTGTACCCCTTCTAATGTGACTTAGCGCGTCTCACTTTCCTTTTTTCTTTTAGGATACAGAAATGGTCGATTTAGATTCAGATGGTCCTGGAACTTCATCTGGAAGAAGGGTGAGGAAATGAGTAACTTTCTGAGATCAAACATTTCCAGGTTTCCTGAGTCAAGAGATCCCAATTCTTTTTTTTTTAATTTATTTATTTATTAAAGATTTCTGTCTCTTCCCAGCCACCGCCTCCCATTTCCCTCCCCCTCCCCTAATTAAGTCCCCCCCCCTCAGCCCGAAAAGCAATCAGGGTTCCCTGTCCTGTGGGAAGTCCTTATCCCAATTTTTTGAGAGTAGCTGAGACTCTTGGAAGCAAATACATAGCTTACACATGATTTAGATTCATTACAGCAGCAGGCCGCGACATACAGACCAAACGCAAGAAAAAAACAGCAAGGGCTGGGTGGAACCATATCAGTTCCCATAGGTTTTCTTTCTCCTATGAGGGACTATACAGCAGTCTTCTCACAGCAATAAAAACGGAAATATGTATGTGATTAGTGACTCAGTTACCAAAAATTTTACTAGTGACTGGGGTATGTAGGCACCTTCTGACTAAGACATATCTTCATCCCAGATTCCTACAAGAAAAGCAGGCCATCTGCACAGTAATGTTGTTTATACTGTTTAAATAAACAGTCTTTACAATTCAAGAGACAGTTCAGGCTCCCAAGTACTGGCCACAGGTCGACACTTTAAGTCAAGGGGAGTAGGGAGACATTTACTTGTCTGTACTTTATTTGCAGTTTAGATTTTCTTGAAAGGAAATACAGAATACTAGAATTGTTGGCATTTGCTTTTTTTTTTTTTTTGCAAGACAGAATGGCGCTTTTAAGTAAGACATATAAGCAGTAGCTGGTGCATCTTATACAAGTGACTGCCATCGGGGTGATGGCCGTGTTAACATGGCTGCTTAGATCTGGACTTGGGTAATACCAGGCTTTTCTGAGAAAATCAAGGAATAGTTCTGGTTAATTCTCTTTGATTTGTAGGTCAAATGTCGAGGCAGAAGACTGTCTTTGAAGTGTAATCCTGACGCTTGGAAAAAACAATGCAAAGAACTATTGAGCCTCATTTATGAACGTGAAGACTCAGAGCCATTTCGACAGCCTGCAGATCCTCCTTCTCAACCAGTAAGCATGCCATTGCTGAAATAATTACCAACAGGATGATTTCTGTTAATTATCCAAGCTAGTATCTATGTCTGAACAATTTTCCTTTTAGTTATAACTCTTTAAAACAGTAGCCATGGACTTAGGATGGAATTGATATAGTTGCTAGAAGAGACTGGAATCACCTGGATGTGGCGGCACATGCCTTTCCTCACAGGCAGAGGCAGCTGGATAATGGGGCTTTTGAGGGCAGCCTGGTCTTCACAGAGATCCAGGCGAGCCAGGACTGCATAGTGAGATGCCGTCTACAAGAAAACAAATGAAAAGCCCTTTTCATTTAGTTCATGCTTTAATTTATTTATTTTAGTCAACTAACTTCTAATAATACCTTTACACACTGTAGACTTAGTAATAATATATGTCAAACCTGTTTAATTTATAGTAAATTTGTTATCAATATGGCTACTTATAATTATCCACATACCAACGTTACTTTTCAACAAGATAACATTATGACAGTTTAGATTATAGAATTATTTTTACTTTCAAGACAGGGTCTAACTGTATTCTCCAGGCTGGTATGGGACTACTGACACTGTGTGCCCCACTGCTAGGATTAAAGGCACGCACTACTTTGCCCTGTGACTAGGATTTCTTTTATAAATATGTGACAACTCCATATACTGTAGACACTTGGGAACATATTGTGTATGTTTTGGAATGAAAAAGAAGTAACAATATTGCAATCAACTAAGTTTGATTTGTTTGTAGGAAGTTTGAGGAGGACACATGAGGCTTATATTTTTCAAAGCAGAGTATGGTAAACACAGAAATCTTTCAAGTAAAACATTATTTTTGTTTGTGGATTTTTGAGCCTTTGAATCACAACTTCATTGCAAGTCTTGATCCTGTGGAGTGGTGATGTGAAAATGACCTGTGTTCCTTATCCTGACAGGCTCACCAACAGCAAGAAGGAGAACCCTCAGCATCAGCTCTTCCAGATAGTCAAGATCCATCTCAGTCTGAGGTAGGCTTAGGCTGGTTATGTGGTGTTCCCTTTGAAACTTTTCATGCCAAACACAAATTTTGTGCACTTTGCTCAATTTGCCTTTCAATTCAACTTAGTTTCTTTTTATACCTTTGTTTAAATTTTTGGTCATTTTAATTTTTTAATTTTGGTTTTTGAATCAGCGTGTGTTCAGAATTGTTCTTCATGACATCATATAGTTGTTTATTTGGAGATATGGCTAGAAAGCCATGCAGCAAAGCAGAGAACATTCAGTGGACTTTATTATATCTGTGTCACAGTGATATTTCCCGCACAGATTTCCCTAAATAGTCAGCTGAGGAATTTGAGTTCTTGTCTTACTATACACGTTCCAACATTATTCCTTATGAAAATATCACTGCTTTAGAAGGCATAAGCTTTTGGAATATACTTTTGGTGTTTTTATAACTTAAGGAAATCTATTTTAATACCCTTTCTCTGCTACTTTTTTGCTCTTTTCTCTTTCTTGGTAGATGAAAATGTGGTGGTTTTACTTCTTAACATTGTAAGTAACATGAGTGACTGAATACATATGTGTTTTACTGAAAGGTATACAGGGTAGTGGGAAATATAAGTCTGTTTCAGATATTATTCTATATGATAGCCCTTGGAAAAACTTAATGGACTTGAAAGATTTAAGTTAAAATGGATTTTCTTTCTTCTAATTGCAATCAAACTAAGTTCTGAATCGGTGAGACTGAAAACTTGAGATGAAATAACAAATCACATTGGTTAAAGATCCAAAAGGCAGCCAAATGTGATGGTGCAGAATTATAACCCTGGTCCTTGAGAGGCTGAGATGGGAGAATCAGGAGTTTAAAGCCAGCCTCCACTGCATATAGACAGAGAAGAGGGGTAGCCGGCACAAACTTTGACCTCAACTAGTGACAACTTATGTGAAATGTCCTAACTCAGAATCTTGGAAATATGAAGGTAGTTTGTGGAGTGGGACTCTGCAATTCTACCTGAAAATCCCATCATCTGTCATTAGATAACTTTGGCACTGTGTCAGCAGCTCAAGCCAGCGACTTTGACTTTTCTTTTTTAACCCTTTAAACTCATGTTATTTTCAGAAACCTAAAAAGGATTTGGTTTGGGAGCGGGAATAAGTAGTTGGTAGACATAAAGGTGGTGTTTGTGTCAAGATAACTTGCTTCAGTGGGTAATGTAATTCTCAGTGCTATTTTATTTAGGATTGTTTTGCAATTTGAGTATTTAAATGTAACGCATTATCATTTGTAGGATTATCAAGATGGTATAGACACACCTATGGACTTCAGCACTGTGAAAGAAACTTTGGAATCAGGAAATTATGATAGTCCTCTGGAATTTTATAAAGATGTTCGCCAAATATTCAGCAACTCCAAAGCTTATACTTCTAATAAAAAGTCAAGGGTATGAAACTAATATTAAATGGGCAGTTATGTATTTCAGGCAGTTTTCCTTCCACAGTTTGCAAGATCTGTAAACAAGTTGCATTCTCAGTATCTTCTATGCACTCTGGATTCTTTTGAAGGCATATGTAAATATACTTTTAGAATAATTCTGAAATTAAGCAGCTTTTTCTTTCTCTTATCTTACTTTATTCTTTAATGATAATTACATCTGCCAGAGAAAAGAAAAAGAAAGGAAAGTTAATAATTTAAATACTCAAATCTCCATTAAATGAACTGATAAATAAAATATAAAGGTAGTTGACAATATTAGTTTATATGAAATGTTTTAATTAGCTCTTAATATAGATATTCCCATTACTATCACAAAGTCATCCCTTTTGGGAAGTTACAACTTTATTCATATTCATGTTAAACATTTCCTTATATATTATCAAAACTGAAAATATCTTGAGAACAAGAAATAGAAACAGTAATATTTCTCTTTTGGAGCCACTAGTGTCTTACTGTCAGATTAGTTACATGGTAGGCATATGTCTAAATGCTTCAACTCTTTAATATACAGTAAAATTTTCACCAATTTCTCTAGGTTGTAATTTTTTTTGCATTTCCTTTTCCCTTTCATCATAACTTTTAGAGTAATAGAAAGTTTGAAAAATATGGAAAAATATTTTAAAAATCAAACTATCACATTTTTATTTATAGTTAATATTTAATGTGCTTTCTTCTAGTCCTATCTATACTAAACTTAACATTCAGGTGCTTATAAAATATTAGATTTCATATTTAAAGTCATTGTTATATGTGTATTATGATTTTAAACATCATTTTTATTAATTATTTGAGCATTTCATGCAATATATTTTGAACATAATCACTTATTACCCTGTCAAACGTCCCATCCCTTCCCACCCAACTTTGAACTTACTTTTTTCTTTTAATTCATTTCTCATCAAACCAATTTTGTTGCCCAGATAGTCTTGGAATCTCTTATTCTTAGCCAACCATGGGATGTCACCTCATTAAAATGGGTCACCATTACATGCTATATAGCCCCTCAGCTAGTGATAGGATTACATGATCAACCTTCCTGCCCTCTAAGCTGGGATTTTGTCTGTCTGGACCTTATGCAGAACTTGTACATGCTTTCATATTCTCTCTGGGTTCGTATGTGTATCTGTCCTGCTTCCTTGAAGTCATCCACCACTTCTGGCTCTTAACAGCCTTTCTCCCCTCTCTTCTGTGAAGATCCCTGAGCCTTGGGGTGAAATATGAAAGTCTGATTGGGGTTGAGCACTTTACACTTTTGCTTTCTGCACACTGACCAATTGTGGGTCTCGACGTTAAGTGCCATCTGCTGTAAGGGGCAAGTTTCTCTGATGAGGGTTAAGAGATGATCTGATCTGTATGATGACTGTTTAAAATGAGGTTTTTGATGGTATTCTTTTCTCTGACTATTTAATGGTTTATTGGAGTTTTGTTGATTTCATTTTTTACTAGTATTCTGTTACTAGAAAATTGAGTGATTTAAAAAATAATTTCCTACTTTACACGAATAATGACTAGCTAAAGTCTTTAATATCATTTAGCATTTTTATCATGTGTGTATAATCCCCTGATTGTTCCTTACAACAGATTTCCAGAGGTCAAATTATTAACCAAATGATAGGTGTATCTTTAATGTTTTATGATACATATTTTAAATTATCTTTTGGGATATTGTCTCAGTAAAAATTATCTTATAATATATGAGGATTTTCCCGTCATTCACAGCACTAAATACTATCTTTTAAAGTTTTTATTACTTTTAATAAATGAAAATGACATCTTAATTCCTCCAGAATTTCAAATACCTAGTGTGTGTTTTCCATCGGGAATGATGTTCATCCTCTTCTGTGATTGCTAAAACAAGGCTGTGCTTTCCACCTTTCCAGATCTATAGCATGACGCTGAGATTGTCTGCCTTATTTGAAAATCACATTAAAAATATCATCTCTGAATATAAGTCAGCAATCCAAAGTCAGAAGAGGAGAAGGCCGCGGTACAGGAAACGCCTGAGAAGCAGCAGCAGCTCACTGTCCAGCAGCAGAGCTCCTAGGTACATTACACTGATGTAGCAGTAGGCATTAAAGCACTTTGTATGTGGTAGCTCATCCGTAAGGTTGGCGAGTAAACTTAGCACGTCTCAGGGGACTCAAGAAGTCCTGTTTCTGTCTCTGTCTCCTTTCATTGCCTGATGAAGGTTAATATTCATGAGGATGCCTATGTGTTTGTCTTTGGATTCACCTTCTTATTTAGCTTCTCTAGGAACATGAATTATAAGCTCAATGTCCTTTATTTATGGCTAGAAACCAAATATGAGTGAGTATATCCCATGTTCCTCTTTTTGGGTCTGGCTTACCTCACTCAGGATAGTGTTTTCTATTTCCATCCATTTGTATGCAAAATTCAAGAAGTCCTTGTTTTTTACTGCTGAGTAATACTCTAATATGTATATATTCCATACTTTCTTCATCCATTCTTCCGTTGAAGGGCATCTAGGTTGTTTCCAGGTTCTGGCTATTACAAACAATGCTGCCATGAACATAGTTGAGCATATACTTTTGTTGTATGATAGGGCCTCTCTTGGGTATATTCCCAACCAGACAGAAATCTCAAGGTCCAAATCAGGAGCAGAAGGAGACGGAGCACGAGCAAGGAACTCAGGACCACGAGGGGTGCACCCACACACTAAGACAATGGGGATGTTCTATTGGGAACTTACCAAGGCCAGCTGGCCTAGGTCAGAAAAAGCATGGGATAAATCCGGACTAGCTGAACATAGCGGACAATGAGGAATACTGAGAATTCAAGAACAATTGCAGTGGGTTTTTGATCCTACTGCACGTACTGGCTTTGTGGGAGCCTAGGCAGTTTGGATGCTCACCTTAGGAGACCTGGATAGAGGTGGGCAGTCCTTGGGCTTCCCACAGGTCAGGGAACCCTGATTGCTCTTCGAGCAGATGAGGGAGGGGGACTTGATCGGGGGAGGGGGAGGGAAATGGGAAGCGGTTGCGGGGACGAGGCAGAAATCCTTAATAAATAAATTTAAAAAAAAAGAAGTCCTGTTTCTGTGCAAAGGTGGAGTTTGTAGCCCAAAGTATTGATTATGCTGATTTTACTGTGCCTTTAAATTTTTAATTTTTTAATTTTGTTATGTGATTGAAGCTTCACTTTGTCAGCTCACCTACTTTAGGTATTTCACTTGAAGTTCTAGGTAGTTTCCATTTTGGTCACCATCAGAATTTTGTGTCATATTGTTCATCATATTGAATTACTAACAGAAAAAAATGTTCATAATTGTATATCTATATTTATTTATTTATTTACAGCCCGAAAGGGAAGCAGAAGCAAATGAAGTTACAGCCTAAAAATGACCAGAATACCTCAGTGTCTTATGCCAGGACTGGTTCTCCTTTCTCTTCTCCTGGTAAATATATCTTTGGTTTTGTGTTCTATAATTTTGGTGCTAATTAAAGGATATAGAGTTGGTATCACTGTTTATAGTACAAAGAGCAATAGATTTGGATTTAGAAAAATTACATTTTAATCATTATTTTACTTGCTAGCTGTATGGCACTCCTGTAAGACATTAGGTAAAGTGATTTGGTTTCTTTGATTAGGTGATTTTTCAAAACCACTTTAAAAAAATCTATTGTGGATTTATGAGTCTTTTGCCTACCTGTGCATTTATACTCCATGTACATTCCTGGTACTCGCAGAGGCCAGAAGAGGGTGGCAGATCCCCTGAAACTGGAATTACAGATGGTTGTGAGCTGCCATGTGGGTGCTGGGAATCTTCCTCGGATCCTATAGAAGAGCAGCCAACACATTTATTTATTTATTTATTTTATTCTCAGCATTTATTTATTTATTATTTTTTATTAATTTTTTTAATTAAAAATTTCCGCCTCCTCCCCACCTCCCTTTTCTCTCCCCCTCCCCCCACTCCCCTTCCCCTCCCTCTCCAGTCCAAAGAGCAGTCAGGGTTCCCTGCCCTGTGGGCAGTCCAAGGTCCTCCCCCCTCCATTCAGGTTTAGGAAGGTGAGCCAGCCAATACTTTTAAATGCTGAGCCTTCTCTCTCTAACACCTAACTGTATGAATCTAAATTAAATGTCCCTTTGAAAGTTCTGTAGCTGTATGATTTTTATTATCTATAATATCTCCAAGAATGTGTACAATATATTTGTCAGTGTAAGACTTGGAGATTAATATGTGATGGAGGTTTTTTCTCAGGTTTTTTTTTTGACATTTTGTATTTGAAAGTTTTTAGTGATGATAAATCGTTTGTTTTCCTGTTGTCACATACTCATACTTACTTTGGGGGTGGGCTCTAGGGTCTTGCTAAGTAGCCAAAATAGATTTCAAACTCACTGTCCTCCTAGCTGAGTTTCCAAAAAGCTGGGAATATATGTGGGATACCAGTTGTAAAGCAATGTTTAATTTTATCATGAAGTAAAGTAGTGAAGGTAGTTTTAAAAGCAGCCTGTATTAAAATTTCCTGAAAAACAAAATTATGTTAACATCATAATCTCTTTAAACATAAGTTTCAGATGCTGCTGAAGGTGTTTCACAATATCTACTTGATGATGAAGGAGATGGGCCATTTTCTCCATCGAGTTTCAGTGGATATAGCCGAAGTGGAAATAGCCATGACCCAGGAAAAGCCAAATCATTTCGTAATAGAGTTTTACCAGTTAAACAAGGTAGGAAATTGAATATTGGAGAGGTAACTTGTTTTCTATTTTTGTATGATGGATGACGAGTCATTTAAAAAGCTGATGTGTTAGGGCAGTACAGCTAGTATGTCTTGGTACCGAGTAAGAATTATAATAGCCAAATTTAAGTCAAAGGGATTTTATAAGCACAGTTTGGAACAGATGTTTGGCAACTACTTTTGAACAGAATGTAAAATGAAATGAATAAGAGAACAAAACGAAATGAAGAATTCTTTCCCCAAGTGCATAAGAACCAGACTGTCAGGAAACATTCAGAATTTTTCATGTATTAAACCATGTCAATAAGAAGTGAACAGGTCTCAAATATTTCAAAAGCACTCCTTCTTCCAGGCTGTTTCAATAACTTTATATTTGAAGAAAAATTTAGTGCTTACAAAAATCATTGACTTAATTCATGAGTATGTTTATCTATCTTGTATGCCAAGCGAATTGGTTTTATAAGTATTTGAAGTTTACTATTATCCAGAAGCTCTTATAAAGGGTCCTGTACACACCTTGAACATGCTCAAAGATACTTCTATGTTCAACTATTTGAAGTTTGTAAAAATATTTAATTTGGTTTTACAAATAGGTTACTTGGAATTCATTTTAACTTTATATACATTTTTAGTGGATATTAATTTTTCTTATGCATTGTTTTATAATCACCAGATGACCTAAAATAGACTATAAATACATTCTTGGTTATATGAAAAATATTGAAACACATTGTTGTTGATCTGCGATAAAAGACTGACAAGCAGTTGTGACTTATTTTTATAGTTCTCATTTTGAAATCTATTTCTCTCTGATTCTGTTGCTTTGTTCATATTTATTCTTCGTGGGAAAGCTTATAGACAGAGTAGCCTACATTTCATGCCTCTTCTTTCATCCATGACCCTTTATCCTTCATAGCCTAGTTTGTGTGCCAGGCACTCTCCACAAAGCTCTTCTCCCCCAATCACCAGTAATGCAGACTGCCCAAGCAGTGTTCCTTTTCTCAGTATCTAACTTCCTATTCTCAGTGTCACTGGACACTGTTTCCTGCCTCTTCTCTAAGCTTGTCTTCACTGCTTTCTAGACTCTGCTGATATTCCTATACAGTTCTTTGTCTTTACTTTGCTTGTGCTGAGATTTATTGGCAGTTTTCTGCTATTTTTAGCTCTCTTGATCTTTGGCTTCTGCAAATAAAGAACTCTAATAAATCTGTTGACTAAAGCAGTCGTCATATTTTTTATAGGCCAGGGTGGTACTATGTAGTTCTTAGATGGTTTGGAACTCACAATGTACACCAGGTTGGCCACAGAATCAGAGTTTTGCCGGCCTCTGCCTCCTGGGTGCTGGAAATAAAGGCATGTGCCACCTTTTCCAGTTTAAACTAATCTTCCTGATGCTAGGGCCTATGGAGATGTACCAACCCAAACATCTGTTCATTCTACCAGGCTCATTTCTAGGAGCTTCCTAAAAATAGTTTCATTCCTTTTCATCACGTTTGTGTCTCACAGTCATCCTTTTCACTCAACTTAAATCTTATTTTTTTTATTGAGAAAAGAAAAAAAAACATAAACAAAAAAACAAGTTTCCACCTCCTCCCAGCCTCCCATTTCCCTCCCCCTCCTCCTACCCTTCTCCCCCTCCTCCCACCCTTCTCCCCCTCCCCCCCCACTCCTCTCCCCCTCCCTCTCCAGTCCACAGCACAGTCCGGGTTCCCTGCCCTGTGGTAAGTCCTAGGTCCTCCCCCCTCCGTCCATATCTAGGAAGGTGAACATCCAAACTGGCTAGGCTCCCACAAAGCCAGCACATTAAGTAGGATCAAAACCCCGTGCCATCTCATCAGCCTTGGCGTCTCATCAGCCCTCATTGTTCGCCATGTTCAGAGAGTCCGGTTTTATCCCATGCTTTTTCGGTCACAGTCCAGCTGGCCTTGGTGAGCTCCCAGTAGATCAGCTCCACTGTCTCAGGGGGTGGGTGCATGCCTCGTGGTCCCGACTTCTTTGCTCATGTTCTCCCTCCTTCTGCTCCTCATTGGGACCTTGGGAGCTCAGTCCAGTGCTCCTGTGTGGGTCTCTGTCTCTATCCATCACCAGATGAAGGTTCTATGATGATATGCAAGATATTCGTCAGTATTGCTCTAGGATAGGGTCATTTCAGGTTACTAATCCTCAGCTGCCCAAGGAACTAACTGGGAACCTCATCTTGGGCACTTGGGAGCCCCTCTAGGGTCAAGTCTCTTGCCCACCCTAAAGTGGCTCCCTTAACTAAGAATTGTGGTTCCGTGCTCCCCTTTCTACCCTTCCTTTATCCCAATTCTCCTGTTTCCCCAAGTCCCCCCTCCTTCCCTTCTACCTTTTCTCTCCCTATCTTCCCTTACCCCCATCCCACCTCACCCCCAAGATCCCAATTTTCTCCCCAGCAATTTGGTCTACTTCCCTTAGCCAAGAGGATAACTGTATGTTTTTCCTTGGGTTCACCTTCTTACTTAGCTTCTTTAGGTTCACCTATTGTAGACTCCGTGGCCCTTATTTATGGCTAGAAACCAATTATGAGCGAGTACATCCCATTAAATCTTATTTTTAAAGGTGTGCTCTCACTAGGTAGTCTAAGCTCACCTCAAATTCTTTATCTTTCTAACTTAGACTCCAGAGTAGGGAAGTTTGAAGCTCGTATCACCATGGCCTACTCAGTAATTTTCAACTCTCCATTTTCCTCTTGCATCCACATAGTTGTAAAGCCTTGTTAATTCTATCTTTTTAAATTTGCATTTGTGATTTTGTATATATGTTTGTGTCTGGTTGTGGGTTTGTACGTGTTAGTGCACAGAGTCCAGAAGACAGTATCAGATTCCCCTGGACTTGGAGATATAGGCAGTTTTGAGCTGCCCATGTGGGCACATGGAAACCAAACTCTGCAAGAACAGCAAATCCTCTTCACCATCTCTCCAGCCCCTCTATAATTCGTAAATACTACTAAAATAGCTTATCTCCTCGTTTTTTTGTTGTGTGTGTGTGTGTGTGACACCAACTTAGTCTCTAGCTGAGTGTCTTAGTCACTTTAGATAACCATAAAATACCAGAGCGAGGAGCTTAAACAACAGACTTTCATTTTCCCACAGTTCTGGAGCCTCTAAGTCTGAGGAATCAAGGTGCATGGAGAGTATTATCTGACAAGAACTTTCTTTTCCTCAGGCTTGTAGAAGACCACATTATGCTGTATTCCTTGTGGCCATTTTGTCTGTCTCTATATTTCTGTTCCTTTGTGTGCTCCTCTGTCTCTGGCCTCACTCCCAACCATGTGTGTGTGTGTGGGGGGGGGGGGGGTAAAAAGATGAGAGAAACTTAGAAACTTCCTAATCTCTTTGTTTTTTCCATAATAATTGTGACCTTCATTAACTTTCTTTACTATGTAAAGGACTCCAGTCTCCAAATGAAGTTCCTTAGGGAGTTAGGGCCTTGGCCTAGCAATTCTACCTTTAAATGCTAAGATAACATACTTTGCTTTCCTCATCCATTTTCTCTCCCTTTATTTCTCTTCATAGACTGAAAATGTCTGGAACTCCCTCCCTAGCTCCATAATCTTAGGAGATCCAGCTTGTAGACATGCATGATATCTCATTTCATTTTGGCTGTGCTTATGTATGTACATACATATGCAAATGTATACCAAGAGCTGAACCCAGGGTTTTGTGCATGCTAAGCATATTACCATTGAGCTATCCTCTTAATCCCTGTTCGTTTTTTCATGTCTTTTTTAGATGTCTACTGGCATCTAAAACTAGAAAACTTGGCCTTTTCTCAACATGCTGCCCAAACTTGTATAGTCTTGTATAGTGTTTCCCAACTCATCCAGTATTTCTGCCCATTACCCATGTCTTAGACTAAAAGCATAGGGGATACACTGTTTTATTCTTAGTATTTGGCATCAAAACCTTCAGCAGGTCCCATTGTTTCCACCTTTGAAAAACAATTATTCTGGTGGGCCTTCTAGGTGGAAATGTTGTACCAGATTAGATGTCAGTTCTTGACCCCTCATTATGCCGTACCTAGACTACTGATTCAGGGGTCTCTTCTCCAGTTCTGTCTACTTACCCACCATCTACAGTCTGTTCTCTATAGAACACCAGTAATATTTTTAAATGTAAATCAGATGTTGTCTTTCTCTGACCATCTCCTACCATTTCGTTTTTCTACTCCATCCTGTCTAGACTGAATTTTCTTAGTTCTTTTTCTACTGCTAAAACTTTCCCCCACATTTCACTTCATTAACTCCTTCTTTAAGTATTGCATCCTAAGAAACATCTCATTGATCTACTAGATAGCACCCCAAAACACAGTCAAATATGTTTGTGCTCTTATTTTCATTGTTTAGCATTTTTCTCTACTTAAAATTGTATTAGTTTTTTATTCACTTTGTTATCATCCAAACTGTCCTTAGTAGTATATGAATCATGATGTACGATAGCAAGTTCCAACCTCCTACTAATACCTGTTTCATACCAGTTAATTGCTAAGGATTTATTAATTGAATAAATGAGACTTGTATGCTTCCTTATAATTCTTCTTAAGTTTATGCTAAAATTTCTGCCCAGATAAACTCAAAATCCCTCAGCCTATTTTTTTTACTTCAAAAGAAGTGTGGAATAAGGATCCAAACTTTATCTGTCCCTTCAAATAGATCTAAGATCTATTCCAACACCTTTGATTCTGTCCAGTCAGTTTGGGGCCCTAGATATTTTTAGTAGATTATTTTGATTTTGAGTCTGAATGGCTGTCTTACAATGTCAAGGCTTGATTTCTCAAAAACTCGTTCATTTTTACTTTAGATCACTCCACTGATGGGCCTCTTACAAATGGCGATGGCAGAGAGCCCCGAACAGGAGCCAAAAGGAAACTACTCAGTGCATCAGAAGAGGATGAAAGCATGGCAGGAGAAGAAAAGGAGATGAAAGAAACAAAAGAGAAAGCGCATTTGTCCTCCTCCGAGAGTGGAGAGCTAGGCTCCAGTTTAAGTTCAGAAAGCACCTGTGGCTCCGATTCTGACTCGGAATCTACTTCCAGAACAGACCAAGATTATGTAGATGGCGATCATGACTATAGCAAATTCATACAAACCAGACCTAAAAGAAAACTCAGAAAACAACATGCCAATGGAAAGAGAAACTGGAAGATGAGAGGCACAGGAGGAAGAGGCAGATGGGGAAGATGGGGTAGATGGAGTAGAGGAGGCAGAGGCAGAGGTGGCAGGGGGCGAGGGGGGCGAGGGAGAGGTGGAGGTGGGGGGAGAGGGCGAGGGCGAGGGAGAGGAGGAAGAGGTGCATCTAGAGGAGCCTCCAGAGCCAAGCGAGCACGTGTTGCCGATGATGAATTTGATACCATGTTTTCAGGACCTTTCAGTAGACTTCCTCGAATCAAAACAAGAAACCAAGGCAGGAGGACTGTTTTGTATAATGATGATTCGGATAATGACAATTTTGTGTCCACTGAGGATCCTCTGAATCTTGGTACATCCAGATCAGGCAGAGTACGTAAAATGACAGAAAAAGCCAGGGTTAGCCATCTCATGGGATGGAATTATTAACAGTTAATGAATTTAGAGTAATTTTTAAGAATAAAATCAATGGCCTTCTACTGCAGGGAATTTACCAGAAAATCCACAAAGCAAGTTGTGTGGGGACTTCTGCTTCCTTTCACATTGGTGCTTTTCCATTATGCCAGTATCCATTTGTTTCAAGACTTTTAATCTCCACACTTCATTTGTTCAAACAAGCCTTACTCATTAGGCCTTAAATGAAAACAAATTCTGCCCACACATATACATGTGTGCACATACACATGCGTGGACATGCGCACACAAGCGCACACACACACACATACATACACACGCACACACACACACACACACACACACACACACACACACCACAGACACACTACAGATTTACTACATTAAAGGAGCATTCTGCTTCTTAAGAGTAGCATGACATTTTTATCTCAATAAGATATCCCTCTTTGCTTTTGTATCACAGAAGTATAGCACCTTCTTACAGAGTTTTATATAGTTTGTTTTTGCCATTTTGATTCCTATACCCAGTAATAATAACTTTTGCACAATACACCAATCCTAAAGGCAGCTATTAAATGTTTACAGTTTCTATATTGTAAGAACGATCTGGATTATTTTACTCTTCCCAGGCCAAACTCTCATGAACTGTACTGAACTGAAGTATATATTTATACTGCAGTTTTGGGGTGGGTGGGGGGATCTTGATATGCTTTTCATTGATTTGCTTAATTCACGTTTAAGGTGAGAAAGGGTTGGTGCCTTGTAAATATGTAGCAAATCTTTGTGGTGTGTCCTGATGTGTGCATTAACTTTATTAAAAGAGAATACTTGAGGTATCAATCTAGACAAGGTGCCAAATGCAAAAGTTTCTTGCATCCATTTTTCTTTTCCTGTTATATTTTATTGCATTAATAGAAACTTGTGTAGCTTAATAGTAACTTAAACATTTGAAAAATCCTCATCCACAAAGAATACTTGTTTGAACAGTAGCTCAGCTACCTCTATTAACTACAACTACTGGAAATGCTAAGGAAAGTAGATGCTGTTACTCATTACTAAGGAGAAATAGAACAAGCTTGGTAGGGATGAATACTCCTAAGGTATAAGCTGAGAATTTTCAGTAATCACATTGGCTCTCAAATTCATAGGTGTGACAAATTTTCCTAAGTATTCTATGCTCTAGGCTTCTGTAGAACCTATTATGTAAGCAGACTTGCTCTGCTGCTTGGCTATCTCTGCCACCACTTCCTCTTTAACAGCTGTGAGTTACTGCTTTTCATTTGAATCTGGAAAGGTAACAAAACACCTAACTTGAGCTGGCCTAATTTGGCTAGCTAATATTTGGAATCAACTTTAGTGGGTTCTTCTGTTCTCATTCCAAAGGGTTCTTCTGTTCTCGACTTCCAGAAAAGAGCCTCATTGCACTGCAAACAGATATATTGAATCATTATTTTATAGTTGAGAAAAAAATCTTTAGAATCATTTATTGTCTTGTTTACAGCAATAGAGTGCACATAGAGTTCCATAAGTGAGCTTCAGTTCCAAGATCAATTGTCGTCCTTAAATTTGACATCACAGTTGCGCTACTTCATCAGATACTTCCACTCTTGAAGTGGGAGGGATAATAATTGATCTCTACTTTTGTAACAGCAATTTTGTTGTACTTAAATCAGACTTGTGTGATGAAACATTTTCTTAATGTACACCTGGTAGTCCAGGAGATATCTTAAGCTGACATGTTTGTCTCATGCTTTCAATCATTTCACGCATCTGAAAAATCTGTTAAGTGCAGAGGAAGGAGTGCACACATAACTTTGCTTTTTGGTGGGGTTGTGGGGGGGTTATTCTTGAGCTAATACCCTTAAGCAATTTTTACTTGCAGTAGAAATGATGTTCAGGCTTTAAGAAAGTATAATGAACTGTTAATGGCACTAATGTCTGTTGCTAGGGAGCAGACCAAGCTGATATTTTTGTTGTTGTTGTTTTTCTTCACCATACCAAAATGATTTCTGGTTATAACTCAGCTGCCATTTTAACCATAGCATAGATTCAACATGTTCCTATTTTGAGAGTCTACATTTGGTTTTTACTAAAACATACTATTTCAGTTTTTCATCTCTTGGGCGTTTAGACTAAAATTGTGCCTGTGTTTTCCTGGAGTCCTACAACAACCGACATATTGTAGTTGCTTAAATTCCTGGATATACCCAAATATGTATCATGTGTACCATTTTAGTGTGAGATTTTTGTTGGCATTCTTCTATGAAGAGCTGAGCTCTTGAAACGTAGAAGAATCGCCATTTGTATGATGCTAGCTGTCAGGAGCTTTATTTATAATTTATTTTGAAAAATGAAAATGCCACATTTATTCCCCAAATGTCAAGATTTTTTAGGCTTACAGAATTAGAAGAATAAGGCTAAAGACATTTTTAAGCATATTTTCTATGTAGTGAAATACTGTGAAATACTAGTGGGCAGCATTTTGCTGTGATGTTGACTTCAGTTATTAGAATTTAAAGAGTTAGTCACCAGGGTATGTTAGGTGAACATAGTTATCATTTATTATAAAACAAACAGATAATTTTCTGTTTGCATGCAAATTATTTTCATAAGTGTGAAAATAAAAGTCTGGGAAATGATATTTTTACTTTTCTAATCTGGACTTCCCCCTTTCCTCAATTTATATTTTGGGTTTTTTAATACCACTTCCTACAAATGTGTCATAATTTATATCATATTGAATACTTTATCATTTCAGTTTTCTAGAGATCTTTTAAACCTAAGTAAGATCTGGGTTCAGCCATAGCAAAGAAATTAGGGAATGAGTTAAGAATTCTGCAAATGAAGACCACTGTTCTATTTAGGCCCATGAGAGCATACACATGTATAAGCTTAATCCTATGCTATATCTGAATAGCCAGTAAGCTATAATATCACTCATAAATGCTAATGTTCAGATTCCAAGCTTTATGATCTTAGCATGTGTATATGTTTATAAAACTCAATCATGTATTCTTTTCTGGCTTGCTGTATGTAACTCATTTAGCAATAGGATGCTCTCTGAAACATTGGCAAACCTACTAGCCTAATAACTAAATTTGTTTCTGTATAAGTGTTTGTGTACTTGTGTGTATGGAGGTTTTTCCAGTTTGCCATACCTTATCCCAGACATTAAAAAAGAGAATATTTTATATGGAGGACACTGTCTACAAATTATTTGCCTCTTTAGAGCTTAGCTGTGCATTTATTAATGCTTAGTCATCCATGTCATGTCTCTTCGATAACCAGTTCTGGTTCTGTCATATAACTGTGTCCCTCTGTTCTTTGAATTTGCCATTTTACTTGTTTCTTTTTCTCTTCCCCTCAGCAGAAATCAGGCTTATTCTATAATTCTTCCTTACAGTGTTTTGTTTCACCCAGAGGCAAAGCAACTGAATAAAATTCCCAAGTTTCAGTCTACACAATGGAGTTCTCATACATCTAAATTATATTGCAGATATTTTAAAGTAGATTGTCATCAGACAATACAATGATCTAAAGGGAAAGAGGTGAATACCACTCCTAACTTTTTAATGAAACTTTTTTGAGCATTTTTCAAAATGTCTAAGTTTGTGGCAATGATATACACAATATGTGTATATATGGAACCATTTTATGCACATTTGCCAACTGGTACTTATCTTTAAAGTTGAATTTTCATGAATTTTCATGCCCTTAAAAAGGGGTCCTAAAATATTTGATTTTTCACTACTATTTGATGCCCAGCCTTTTAAGCAATTACAATTAACATTTGAAAATCTGAAGTTAATAGTTCCAGGGAGAAGGAATAAGACTAGATATTTAAAGGCCTTTCTTTTCAATGCTAACACATTCCACAACCTCTTTGTGGTATGAAAGGCTTTATGGGTGTTTTATTAAAATATTATTAGATCATTTTAAAGCTCGTTTTAAAAATTATTGGTAAAATAGTTGCATGCTGTTTTTATTTTGCCTCTCTTAGCAAAGATTCTTTACCAAGTGTTAATTTATCATATTTACAAAGTTTGGATTAAAATCCAGTATAAAGTTAAATGATCTCATGGTGCTGTATTTTGTGGAACATGAATAGCACTCAGGTTTCTTGTTATTTATTCCCTGGTATAGTCTTATCACCTTGAGTATTCCTTGTCTCACCTTTCCTTTTGGACTTACTCTTATCTCCACTTCTCTTTCTACAACGAAGACTGCACTTAATGTAGCATACTTCAGCCAGACTGGAAATTTTCCATTCATTTTTGAGGGAAGTACAATAGAAAGGCCCTGCAGTTTAGAGTTAAGGTGTGTTTATTTATATGTATGCCCATTTCTTATTCTTATACCTATCTTAATTAAATCTAGAATATGGGACTTAGACATATAAAAGCATTGTAATTATTTTCTAAAAAATAAAATTATTGATACATATTGAGATCACCATTAGTAATTTACTTTTAAAAATCCCATATTGAAATACCTAGAAACCCAGTTGGAAAATGTGTTTTTTGCATATGTCACCAAATATACATTAGGCAGTACTACAAATGTTAATTCTTTAAACAATGCTGTGGTGATGGCAATCAGTAATTTATTTCTTTGTTCTGTAACTTATCATCCTTGTCTTTTGTAATCCTTTACACAGTATTAACAAAGCTGTACTTTGTGTTTGTTCTTAGTGTCCATAAATTTTAAGATGGAAAAAAACCATTCATTTAATAGTTGATGTTATGCTGTATATGGGCAGAATGTCCATTAAACTAAATCTCAGTGGGGAAAAAGGTAAACAAAACTGGCTTGGTTTATAAAAGATGTTTTGTTTGGCAGTTGTTGGTCATTATAAGCAATTACCTTCAAAGACAAAAAAAATACTGGACTAATTTGTTGCCATTCTTTATGGGATGTTTACAATAAAATTCCAAGTTGTTTGGAATCAGTTGCACTCTCGCTGCTTTATGCCTTAATTCATCCTAGAGATAAATTAACAAGACAGAGAAATATAAGAAATATGAAGTTAACCTTTCTACTGCCAGCTTTCGAGACTGTGTCATGTAATCCTCGGGTCTCCTTTGTCATATTTTATTGCTATCATTTTTTAATCTTAGAAACTGAGTTGCTTCCTATGAAAAAAAAG